GATGTCAGCACCCAGGGGGGAGGCTCAGAAGCAAATTCGGCGTAGGACAAGAAACAGCATCTGAGATCCTGCTGAAGCAACACTAGCAACTGCCTAATCTGCCAAAAGCCATGCTACTTAGCTTGCCCTGAGAAGAGCCCGCATCAGATTTTGTCAGGGCAAACTGTCTCAATGCTTCGTGTGGAGTGGCAAGAGCTCCACGGCGCTGACCTGCTGCCAGTAGGAGTAGGCCCAGCCGGCCACCTGGATGCCCAGGTCAATGGCAAAGTAGGTCAGCAGCGACGCGCCCAGGCCCATGGTGACGCGCTCACGGGCGCCAGAGAGCGGCGTGGGTGCACCAGCAGGGCTTGCCCCCGAGGAGTGAAACCAGCGGGGCACAAGCCTCTGCCGCTCAACCTGGCCCCGATGCCCGCCGAAGAGTACTTTCTGAGACTGACTTGTCAATGAACTCTGGAATCCGCTTCTTGTGAAGAGTAGCCGGGGCGTGTCTTTAATGGCTGTTCTTGCAAATGCTGTCAATGTGGTGAGGTGCAAAGGGCTGGTCCCGATTGACCAGATGGGGGGCAATGCGATCCGGGGCCCCGCATGCACAACCCGGGAGACACCGCCAATCAAGGCACCCCAAGGGGCGGGGCGCGGAGGGAATGAGCTGGGGAGCGGAGCACGTCTAAACAACGGGCAGGTAGTAAGGGTTCCCAGGAGAGAAATGATCTTCGTACCTGCGACTTGCTTGTTGAGAGAGCGGATGGCTGCTGGCACTGCCCATGCGAGCACAGACATCCTCAACAACTCTCCACGCCCTCTCCACGCATGATCCGCAATTCGAAGTCTTGAGCAAGCACCATAGCAGCAGTGCAAGCCGAACAACCTTGGTCATTGGTTAGGTTAGGCTTAGGGCTAAGGGTAAAGCGTCATGGAGGAGTCGTCGAGGACGCTACGGAAAACGAGTTAGGGTTTCTAAATTCTACTAACTAGGTAGTACTAGACCCGGCCAGGCAGAGAAGAAGCACGTAAAGCTAGAAGACTGGCACCAGGATCTTTGGCAAGCTGGGGAGCCGCCACAGCGCCAAAGGAGTGTAGCAGCGGTGGTGGTAGCGGGTGCACGGTGCCCTGAGGCCAGGCACACCTCCCTTCTGGAGCCATGGCATCCGGAGTGATTGGGCTGACGAAGACGGGGCCTGCGAACCTGCCTGAGGTGAGGAAGAGCATTGCTGCATTGGGTCACAACTGGGGCTCATTGTTGATGTCGGGGAGCATTTTACCTGGACCCTCTGGGAGTGACTCATCTAGGCTGGACCCTCTGGGAGTGACTCATCTAAGCTGTAAAAAGTGAGGCGTGTCTGTGGATTGTGCGGTTATGATTGTCCACTGATGGTGCTAGAATGCACATTTGAGTGGACGCAGCGCACAGCATCAGTACCTCTTGTATGTTGCTACACCACTCTCTGCATCGCTCTCGTTGCGTATGTTGCAGCTGGACATCAAGGTCAGTGGCACCACCCCCGCTGAGTGGAGCGGCGATGCCCTGGTGGTGGGGGTGTTTGAGGAGGCACTGGCAATTGAGGGGGATGCCTTCAAGGCTGCTGAGCTGAGTGCACTGGACAAGAGCCTCGGGGGGGCTCTGAGGGAACTGGTACGGACACGGCATCGTGCACCACCCTGAGCTGGCAATCACTGCTATGTCTCCTTCAAAGGTTGGATTTGCGCCAGGCTTGAATAGAGTCAAGACATGCCAGGCTTGATTGCGCCAAGGATCAAAAGGTGCCTATATGTTGCACATTGTTTCATCACCCACACTTGTTGAGCCAACTGGGATTCCTGAAGTTTCCTAAAGTTTCCTGAAGATTGCTCTGAAGGGGCGATCAGTTGAGTGTTCAGTTGAGTTATCAAGTGCTTTCAGGCACCCACTACACATTTCATTGACGCTCTGCCTACAAAAGAGCAACCAATTCCCCAACAATGTACGCTGATAGATTGAAACATAAACCCCCATTCTTGAAGGTGTCTGATGGCGACTTCAAGGGGAAACCAGGCCAAACATCATTTTCCAGAATTGCTGGCAGCAAGGTGAAGAGGTATGCTGCACTCTTCACTCTTTTCTTGCACAAAGACGAGACGTGCCACCCAAGCTTCCACTGCGTCTTCGAATTGGTCAAGGCAAGACACAAAAACCGTTTTTTTCTGATGTGGTTCTCCTGTGTTGATACTTTGCCTTGCTAGCTCCTGTGCGCCTGTCCTCGTAGCTTTCTGATGGCCGTGTGCTCCGTAAGCAGGGTGGGCCTGGTGGGCCTAGGCAAGCAGAGCCCCGGCGCTGCCGCCCCTGCCAGCCCCTGGAAGAAGCTGGGCCTCACTGCCGCCGCAGCAGTAAAGAAGCAGCAGGTACCTGCGCATCCGCGCGACTTGCTGTCCTCTTCCACCTGCTGAGTACTGGCCAACTGGTGCCAGGTTGGTCGGGGCTGGTTACAGTGACACAACTTACTAGTAGCTTTGGCTCAGCCACTTTCCGAAGGTGCGAAAGTAAGAGTTGGGTGGCTTCCGGTGCACATTCGTGTCAGTGTAGGCTCCTACGGAGCGCTTGTGCTCTGCCCCTCTGTCCTGGCCCCGCAGGCCCCGCTGTCACAGCTGTGCACACGCGTGCAGGTGACGTCCCTGGCGGTGGCGGTGATTGGGGTGGACGCCCTGCCGGAGGCGGCCAGGGCGGCGGCCGTGGAGGGGGTTGCGCTGGGGGTGCAGCTAGGCGGGTATGAGGACGTGCGCTTCAAGTCGGAGGTGAGCGCCTCACACACCACCGCGCCCGGCTGGAGCGAGAAAAAGCGGAGAATTTGGGAACCGCAAGAAAGGTTGTGCACCAGCTGTGAGAAGCTGATTTAGACCTACCCAACCGGTTAAAAGTAGTTGGACTCTGTGGGTAGTTGTCAAGATTTCGGACGCTGGATCTCAATCCTTTTCCTGGAAGGTGGCACTTCAGGAGGGGTTTGGTGGCGCTCAGTAGCCCAGGTAGTGCAGCCATGCCCGACTTCGTGGCACCGGCTCTGCTGGCTGCTGCCATGCTCACCCCCCCGTGTTCTCTTCCAGGCCAAGGTGCCGGCGCTTCGCAGCGTGGCGCTGCTCTCGTTTGGCAGCGGGGCGGAGCAGGAGCAGGCGCTGGCGCTGGCTGCCCACGTGACGGCGGGGGTCACCCTCGCGCGCCAGCTGGTGGCGGCACCCGCCAACGTGCTCACGCCAGGTGGGCCTTCATCTGTGCGAACAGAGCACATCACTGGGACTGCACGCGTGCTCCTGCCTGTTTGCCTCGATGGGACGAGGCCATGGTAACGTTGCAGCTGCTGGCATGGAGGAAGGTGCCTCTTCGCACCCTTGAAGTCAAACATTTTTCTCTACACGCTTCAATATGTACCAATCTAATAACTAGTTACAGACAATGCACATACGGCTCGTTTCTTTCCTGTCGTATGAGGTCCGTCAACCCTCCGGGCTGTGGCCTCCTCCTGGTTTCTGCGAGTTGCTGATCCCCCCTGTTCGAGAGCATGACTGCCACCGCCGTCTGTGCAGCTGCGCTTGCGGAAGCTGCGGCGGGGGTGGCACGCGAGTTCAGCGACGTGCTGAGCATCCAAGTGCTCGACCAGAAGCAGATCGAGGTACCCCGCCCTGCGACCCTCACAAGTCTTGGTCAGCGAATGGGACTGGATCTACGCCGTTTCATATGTGCGGCTTTGCTATGCATCATTTCCATACTCTGAAATTTCGGTTCTGGTGCGAAGCCCCAAGACCTGCCTACGACCTCCCACGATGATCCCTCTGAGGCACCTCGTGATGGGTGCGGTGCAGGCGGCCGGCATGGGCGCCTTCCTGGGGGTGGCGGCCGCGTCCGACAGCCCGCCCCTGTTCATTCACCTCAAGTACACGCCCAAGGGGGAGCCCAAGCGCAAGCTCGTCATCATCGGGAAAGGGGTGAGCCGCTCAAGGGAAACGGGCCATCGTTAAAACGAGGATCCTCGATTCTGCTCAGGAATCAAGTCGTTGTGCAATCACCACGAAGGAGTATGTGGAGCTCAGTTTCCCGGACATGTCTTTTGGTGCGGCGGGGGTAGACGAGCCGTCCCGGTTTGCGTGCGCAGATCACGCACGACACGGGGGGCTACAACCTCAAGGTGGGCGCCAGCATCGAGTCCATGAAGTGCGACATGGGGGGCGCCGCCGCGGCCTTCGGAGCCGCCCGAGCCATTGGCGCCATCAAACCACCCGGGGTGGAGGTGAGCCGCAGCCCAGCACGCTCGGGGCCTCATTCTGCCAGCTACACAAGGGTTGAATCTGGTGCCACCCCGTAATTGTTTGCAACGTATTTCTTGCGGGCAGCTGTATAATACGCCTCTGAGAGCGTGCGAGATCCTTAGCCTTTTCACTTGAAAGGGCCTTTATGTCGCACCCGTGAATTGTGTGCCCAGAATGGAACTGCCAGGTCAAGGAAGGTGACTTCTGAAGTCTCTCGTTTGTCAAGTTCCTGACTTGCGTCGTCTCAGATTCTGAATTGTGTTGGGCTCTAGATTGTGGACTTATGATCTACGACAGACCTCGAGGGTTTCACAAAAGACTCAAAAGCCTCTTGCCGCAAAAAGCAAGATTTTGCGAGGACTGTCCCGCTCCTGCCATTTGCGTCCCCAGATTCCGTGCGAAAAAGCTAGAATGTACTGCACCTCCGGCAAAATCAACGGGGCCCGTTCAGCACTGGGCCTTGCTTTGGTGCGACGCCCACCAAGCGTGCAGGCTCGCAACGTCGGGGCGCCCGAGGACCAGCTCTGAGTCTGGTTGACACGCGGCTGGTGGTGGTGCAGGTCCACTTTTTGTCGGCCGCGTGCGACAACATGATCAGCGGCCACGGCATGCACCCGGGCGACATCATCACGGCGTCCAACGGCAAGACCATCGAGGTACGCACCGCCGCTCGGGTCGCCAATGGTTCGAGCGAATGCACTGCTCCGACATCGATTCGCTGCATTTGTTTGAACGAGCAGGCGGGCCTGAGATGAAAGTCCTGCTCGAACACCACCTTAAATTTGTTTGCTTCGTCTCGGCGTGTCTTCCCGTCAAGTCCTCTCGGGGGTCCGGAAGTGGCAGTGAAGAGGGCTTCGCCGAGCTCCCTCGCAGTCTGCGTGCATTTTTATCGTGTGCTCCTTGTGACGCGTTGGTGGTGCTGGCGTGGCAGGTGGGCAACACGGATGCGGAGGGCCGCCTCACGCTGGCGGACGCGCTCGTGTATGCGTGCAAGCTGAAGCCCGACGCGGTGAGCCCGCGGCCCCGAAGGCCCCCTCGCTTTTGCGGCTGGCAGCGCCGTGCGAAGGTTACAAACAGTCCGACAGCAGTCCGCTGGCCATGCTACACACGTGCCGCAGGTGCTTCCACCCGCGCCTGACCCCCGGTTGTGCGGGGCGGTGCAGGTGGTGGACCTGGCGACGCTGACGGGCGCGATCATGGTGGCGCTGGGCACGGCGATGGCGGGCCTGTTCGCCAACAGCGACGGCCTGGCGGACCAGCTCGCCACCGCCGCCAGGGCCGCGGGGGAGAAGCTCTGGCGGCTGCCGCTCGAGGAGGAGTGCGTGCCGCTCCGCCTGGGCTGCAGACCGTTGGGCGCCGTTTTGAGCTGTCCCTTCCGGAGATTGCTCTGCCACAGGCGGGGCCAGGATGCGTAACCTGTGACTTTCAGCCCGCCAGATGCAGTCAAAACAGGGCAGGCTCCCTCCTTCCTGTCCCACCGTTCCTGTAGGGGCCCCAGGGTTTGCCTACCGACGCCTCTGCTGTGCAGGGCGCACAGGGTGCCCCTCGCCTGATGCGGTGGTGCCGCGGTGGTGCAGGTACAAGGAGACCATCAAGTCGCCCATCGCGGACCTGATCAACACCGCTGGCCGGCCGGCCGGCGCAATCAAGGCCGCGCTCTTCCTGCAAGAGGTCAGCCCAGGGCCCCCGTGTCTGCGCCTGCTGCGTGTGGACCATCCCTGGGGCAATTGCAGGCGGGCTGCTGCATTTTCCCAACAACGGCATGAGCTGCCGAAGAAGGCACCAGTACCGAGAGATCTTTGCTGGAACTCTTAGCTGCAGTCTGGCCTGGCATCGCATGGCGCTCTTAGCCCCACCCTCGGGGTAAGGGCAGGTCTGACCAGCGTGTTTGCGCTTGTGAGTGCAGTTTGTTGGGGAGAACGTGGAGTGGGCTCACCTGGACATCGCTGGCGTCGCGTACGACGGCGACAAAAAGATCGGGACCGGCTTCGGCGTGAGCACGCTCGTCAAGTGGGTCCTCTCACAACAGCCGCCCGTCGACCTCGTCAGCTTCTAGGCGACTGTACAAGAGCGGCTCGGGAGTGCCTCCGTCTGACCACGGGTGCACGAAAGCAAAGGTGCGAGTCATGCGTTGTCGCTCAGCAGCATGCAGATGGCCGGAAAGTCTTTGCGGATGTGCAGTTTATCTTGGGAGTGAGCATTGAGACACAAGTAAATCCAAAGAAAGAAGCCGGCCAAGTTTGATGTCGACGAAATTGACCCAGTCCTGTATTATACTGATGATTAAGAAGGTAGGCTTGCCGATCGCGCTCGTGTATGCAAACACTTACTGTTGGCTTTCACAGATTTTTGGAATATGCGAGACCAAACATTATTGAGCTTAAAATGAAGGTAGTGACGGAACAGGACTTGATAAGAGTTGCCACGTAAGTAAAAGCCTGAGTCACGTTAATATAACCAGAAGTTGCGATCGAAGTCCGCGTCTATCAAACCACGCACATGCAATGGGACCAGGCTGCTGCATGCATGAGCTATACCTATGCAAGCTAGCATGTGTAGGTATCGGACTACGCCTCCGTGGGCATTATGCCGTTGACCATGTGTAGCTCTCACAAGGCACCTATGGGGCATTCTGGCCCGTGACGCACCGGTCACGGAAATGTCAGACCGTCGTGACCGGGGTGTCGCGCCGGTCTGTCGGGTAGGTGACACCGGCGTGCCAACGGAGCCTACGATTTATATAGAACCAGACCTCCAATTCTAAATCCGGCGCTCTTGAGTGGCTTCTACACATGTCCCCGGTAGATGACATGCTGGCACTTCTTGGGTACTTAATCAATGCACTGAATATTGCGCAGCACATAGGCTGTATCGCAGATTTCACCAAGTACCCAACATTGTTTTTGGAGCGTTTGGAATCGACCTCAAACTGTGCGACGCGTGGCTGTCAGAACATCAAACTCAATGATTGACAGTTGTTGCTCCCTGAGATCGTACGGTGAACGGCAATCTTATTCACGATCCGACGGCAACTCACAAAATTCAATCTCTCACCGTACAAGTGCCGTACACACCCAGTGCAGTGCACAGTGCACAGTGCACACCACGGTACCTACATATTGAGTACCGTAGACCGTAAACCGCGACTCAGATAACAACCGACCATGAGGAGCTTTCAGAGTGTCGCGCTTTGATCGCCTCCGCCGCCATTCCTGAAGATCAAACTTGAGCATAATGAACTTTCATCTCATTACGAATTTTGCTATGAACTCTTTTGCATCTATGCTTATTCTCTTCTAGTAGAAGGTCCAGAATTTTAGAGCATGTGTATCGGTTAAGAATTGAGCCAGATATGTGTTCCTAGGTGCCTTGCTCATTTTAGGGTTTTGAAGTATAAAATGTGACCCAACTGCTTGCGTAGCTGACACTGAAATTAAAAGTGTGGACACCCGGTCACTTCGCCGCGACCAATCGGTCACGGGCCGTGACACGGATGCCCTGCAATCGACGTGAACCGCGTCACCGGTACCGACGGTACTCTCACAAGTACTGACCGGTTCGACGGTGAAGCGTAACAGCTGGTTTTGCACCCTAGGTGGCTTGTGCTTAGCTTTCACGAAAACGCCGTAGCCACATGGGCCCTATAGGTCCATGGCAAACAAGGAATTCCGACGAGCATGTTGAACGCCTAGCTACCCGAATAAGTTCAGATTTGCATCGTTAGTCGATCATACGTAGTGACGTGAGCTTGCGCAAACCGAGTCAAGAGGCTTCGATCGCTTCATGACAGCTTGCGTCCCCAGATATGTTTGAAAGGATGCGCTTTGGAATCTAAGAAACCTGTATCTTAGATGGTTGAAGAACATAGTTATATCAAGTTGCTGATCTGTTCCACCACGACGGTTGCCAGAATTGACAACTGTTCTGTTGTTAAACACGCCGCATGCACATGGGGCGGCTAGCGTCTCAAGGTTTTGCTTATATGTCTGGCTGCATCCGCAGAGCTGGCGCGCTCCTTGTCACATGTCAGGAAAGCGGATGCATCGTGCATCTATGTATGGATGGTTTTGAGATTTTGTTCGTGGTATGGTACACGTATAGGTTGCAGCGTTATGATTCGTAAGACCTGATATGGCTGGAATCGGCTTCGATTCGATCGTATTGATCTCAGCTACTAAAGCTAAACTTGCATTCGACAACGTTTGCCCAGCTAGCGCATATCATTGTTCCGATTGACTTCCACGCACATGCATTTTTCGCATAGGAAGGTATTTTAACACCAATGGTCGAATCAATGTGCGTCAAAGTTGACCATTCGATCGACGCCATGCGCTTTCTCAACAGATGCAGAGACTGACATGTCCATGCGGTATAGTCCTACCGTAGGAGCAATTCCACTGCCTTGAAATTTGTATGTGTTGTCTGCGAAAACCTGGGGGGGTCGTTTTGTGATGTATAGGAGCCGCCACGAGATTGAGATGTCAGAAGGACATTGGGTTTTTAAACGAGCTACAATTCTGCCCTTTGTCGTCTCGGCGCAGTCCCCAGCCTAATTCGAACAAAAGGCCTAGGCCGATGAGGTTACCCGGTTGAAGCTCTGCTGGGGTTGGGCTCACCAAGTATGGCTCGCCCTTGATGACCACGAAGTCTTTTCCGCTCGTGGAAGCCTTGATCCGATCGTGTTCCAACAGGAGTCTGTACAACCTGCCAGTGGCACGAAGCTCCGCTCCAACTTCGATACGGACTTTTCGCAAGTGCACGGAAGCCAAACGGCAGATTATCCTGGATAGAGTCGCATCATCGGAGGACCCCGATCATCCAGGAGCACTTGAAGCGTGAGTTCCCTAGCATCCGTTGTCAGCTCCACTAGCAAGCATTGATTGTCTGCTTACAGAGTACCCACAAGCTTCTAAAATTGCAAATCGAGCGTTGCAGAAAGAAGTTTCCTGGCTCACTTATGAGACAGGTACAGCGGCTTCGGAGCCCCGCTGGCAAGAAACGCGGAGAAGGGCAGGAACCTCTCGTCATCCACTTTGAAGCAAGTCCGGAGGATGATGCGGTGACGCTCATGGCCCTGAGGATCGAACGCTTGCCACACAGGAACGTCCGTGAGCACATAATCGCCGGGGTGCTCCAACTCGTCTGTGTAGCAATCTGGGTAGTCGGACTGTTGGAGCGGCGGATTGACATTGGCCGACTGCAAACGAACAGGACAGGAACTAATAGGCTGCCATTGTGGCAGAAATAGTTAGAAGCTCTCTGGATGTGAGATGCATCGGAGATAGGGCAAACGAGCGGGTTGGTCAAGCGAGCAAAAGTGCATCAAAGGAAAGGGCACGTAACAAGAAGAGCAATGCCAGGATCTGCTTTATCATGTGAACAAAGTTGCGCACGATTTTATCACGAGAAGCTCTCTTGAGGTTGTACTAAGCGTGGCTCCTTGGGACAAACTTTTGACAGCGATCCCGTAAAATCACCAGGGGTAGATACAGGCAGGTCTCCAATGACAATAGCAGCGCTCCTTACGCTGGCCAAGCGCTGCCGCTGCAGGTTGAGCATGTAGCTGCCGCTTGCCTTCAAATGCTGCGGCAACTTGTCCTCGGGGTACTCGCGCTCCAGTAACAGGGAAGCTGGCTCAGCCTGTATACACGACAGCTTGTCAACCAGCAGTGATCCTTTCGATCTGCGGACTGTGTGCACTGCTTGTCCATGTAAGCTTCGACATGTCTTTCAGTGCGCCGCCGAGAGTTCTTAAAACATGATCGTCCTAAAATGACTACTGATGACAGGAACCTTTTCTAGATCGAACGGACTTGAACAAAACCATGCGGATGGACTTTCGTAGCAACACCGTCCAACACAGGATTGAAATGTTTTTCGTCTGCTTCACTTCCTTGCAGATTTGCAGCATCGCCAGCATTGCCAGCAGGGCCCGTGCCAGACTACATATACATATGCCAATCTCTTGAGAGTTTTGCTGGGCTTAATTCAAGCACACCCTGTTCCATGCGCTCCAGATTCTTGATCCAGAGGTTTGCAGAGATTGCGTATTCAGGGACCCAATTACTTATCATCAAAGGCACACAAATTGCACATGTTGCAACCCCCTGCTGTAAAGCAAAGGGGTACATATACGAGCTCAGTGAAGGTTTCCGAAGAAATTCAATCTGCTGCAGGTCGAAGACCAGCACCAGACTCAGGAGTAGAAATTCGTACAGACAAGGCAAACCTGGTTGTAGTTATTCCTGTACTGGGCCATCTTCACAAGCCCTGGTACGGTCCTCTGAGAGGAATGAGCGCCGCGCTTCGCACTTGCCGACACACAGAAACTGGCAAACTGTCTGAACATTGTCGCCTGCGCCGTCCAGATGTGTTTAGTGGTGGCTCCACGAGTTGTCAAATGAGCGAGCCTGCTAGCGCTTTTCATGATGAAGATCTTTCTGATTTTCAAAAGGTTGCAAGCCTTAGCGACTAGTAACATAACAGAAACCAGACACGGCGCGCGCCGCCCGGCCGCCGGCGCGATCCAACTCAGGGTTTCAGCCAGGGTTTACTAAGTACTCACGCATGCGCAGTGCATGGCGGGCGGCCGCCATAACCGCCATAACTGCGCGCGCCCCAGATCCGCCACAGCCGCCCGCTGGACGGACCGATGGGTGATCATGGTCCCGGGCCGAGTCCGGCCACGCGGCGGGTCCAGCTCGCTTTCTGTCGTTGTACCAACGGATCAATGGATAAAAGGGAAAAGGTCGTGCCAGTCCTGCGTGTGTTGGATGATTGATGGTCACTTGATGACCACGCTTGTTGATCATGACTGCGCGACTTCCTCAGGAGTGCAAGGCAAGAAATCTTGCGACGGCAGGTCATCAGGATATTTGCCTGCCAGTGACGCCTGGTCCAACGCGGCGGCTATATGTGATCATAGACATGTTGCGTACGTCATGCCGGGGTAATATTGAGATGCAATTATATATATCATTTCCTTCGCAGGTCACCCTAATCCTTTGGAAGGCCGGGCGCCCGCGCAAATGGCACGACAGGGTTTGGAGCTACAAATGTTCGCATAATTCAGCTACAACAACGCGGCTATACGAGATGCGTGCACTGAGCTAGCTCGATGAAGGGACGTACTCTGATTTGTCAAGAGAAGAGTGCAGAAAGACACTTGCAGTGGTATATGGAAAGTAGAACGTAATGGCGTAAGGAACTGGAGTAGCAATGACCTCCTCTTATAAGATGTTGTGCATTAGCTGATGAAAATAACCTGATGAACGGTGCCCATGATAGTCGTACATGATTGATGTTGGCTGTACATAACGGTGTTTGCACGGCTTTGATTTGTGGTGAAGTTGTGTCGCGCATGCAAGGCTCAGCTTGCAACGACGCTTGATCCGTGATAGTTATCACCTTCAGACGTGTGATACATAGTGAGACTACGGGGCATTAGGGGCCAACATGCCTCAAAAGCTGCTAGACGATGGCACTCAGTCGCAGCACTCAATGCTTGATGCATTTCTGCATATCGCGTGTCTCGACCCTTGGAATTAAGAAGAGCTATCCCTACTCTTCCGGATCAGAAGCAAGCGCCCGGGCGTTGATTGTTTGAGCAGATGGGTTAGGTCTGAGTCTGAACAATATCAGACAAATACTTGTTGCAAGCAATCGTAGAAGCGGTTCAAGTCGACCTTCTTAGCTCCTTGTCGGATCAAGTCTGCGTCCTCGCCCTCCTCGCCTTGGGCGGCCATCTCGAGGACCATCAGCAGCCGCTTGATGGGCACCTGCGCCACAGCGGACGGCGCAGTGAGGCGACACGTGCACGGCTGAGCAAGGCGAGAGCCTCAAAAGAGTCGTTGCCGATCATGTCTCCACGTGGCTTGCAGAAGGATGCCGGTGATCGCTTGCAATTTAGTTTCAGATGCCAGCGACCGGTCACCTTGCTCACCTCTTGGTCGAGCGCTGCTACGGCCCGGTCCAGGTCGTGGGGAGCAAAAATGTTTTGGCCAGCCATGACCTGCGAGCAGTAGCAGGATTAGACACGGGGTGAACAGCTGGCCACACCACGACGAGCCGCAGTCAGGCAGAGCGGGGTGGAGAGTCAGACGCATGAACACCTTTATTGGTTCTTCAGGCCCCCGTCAACGTCTTCCACGTCTCAGCAGAGTAAGCCGCTGCGACCAGCAGCGCATCCCCGCCTGTCCGAGCTCCGGGGATAGTCCCTAGTTCGGGTGCCCGTTCCGCTGGCTGACCTGTTTGATCTCGTCCTGCTTCAGCGCGGGCACGTTCAGGTTGACGTTGAAGGCCTGCGCCAGGTCCATGGACTCCAGCACCTCGCTCCGGCTGGTCGTGCCCACCACCAACAGCTTGCGCCCCTGCGCACGCGGCCACGCCAGCCCATCAGCACGGCGGCTCAAAGTGCTCTTATCGAACATGTTCAACAAATCGGGGGCCGGCAGCCCCCACTGTCGCCAGCACCGACAGATTGTGACGGCCCACCCAGCTGAGGCTCGCAACCCGCGAGCTAGTCTCGCGAAATGCACTTCGGGCCTGCCCCATAAGATGCGGCTGACGCGTGCAAAGAGTGGCCGGCACTCACTTCTGGAGGGGTTCGTTTGATGAGCACGAGGAGTGTTTGCAGGACGAGGTTGGAGAAGCGGGGCCCGATAGCGACGTACTCGAGCAGCCTGACAACGGGCACAAAAACAGCCGGGTCAGCGGGCAGCCAGCACAGATACAGCGACACGTCCAACGCAAACACCCTAGTCAGTGCGGAGTCCGCTGACCAGACGATGCTTCCACTTCACTGAGGAACAAAAGAGCGAAAGCAATCTCCAGTCGATTTCCGTGAACGATGTTTGAGCACAAGCACAGGAATGACCAGTAGAAGCATGTGGGCCCAGGGCCAGTGAGCAGGGCCACTACTTTTGCGCCAAGGCAGGTGGCTCACCGCTCAATGTCGTCCAACACGACAATGCTTAATGGGGATTTTACCGCATCGTCGAACACCTGCGCAGCAAAATGAAGAACCCGACATCACACTCCAGTCTTACTCCTCTTTCATATGCTGCTCAACGAATTGCTGGAAACTGCCAATCGAATATTGTACCGACTATGTTAGCAATAACGAAGCACTTAGACAGGACATCAGCAGGTGGGTTGTCTGTTGCGAGCGGTCCGGCGCGCAAGGGGGTGCTCACCTTGGAAATCATGTTGCTCTTGCTGACCTCGGAGAGGCCGACCATGGTCTCGGCGGACAGCACCTTGACGAACGGGAACTCGCTCTCCAGCCCCACCGTCGCCGCCAGGGCCGTCTTCCCGCTGCACAACGCCACGCCTTCAGCACCGCACGAGCCGTCGGCTGGCAACCAAGTGAGACGCTAGCAACCTTGGGCTTCCAGTGTAACGGTCGAAACGGGTTGCAGCGAGACTCAAAAGAAATGAAAGCAGCAAGCGAGTCGCTCCTGGTAAGAGAGCCGGCCTCGCCGGTGGCTGACCTGCCGCTAGGCCCCTCGAGGAGGCAGGAGAGGAGCGGCGTCTTGGAGCTCTTGCGCACTTGCTCCACCAGCGTCATGCACGTCGCCTTGAGGTGCCGGTGCCGCTCGCCGCACTCCAGCATCCCGTTCAGCCTGCAGCCAACACAGCGACGCGGCTCACAGCGAGTCCTCTTTCCAAGGGCGCAACACGGAAAGGCATACAGAAACGTCCGCGCATAGAGCAGCACCAAGCAGAGAACACGGCTCGAGAGCTTCGACGCATTTCGTGGCTTCCAGCTACGCTACGGAGAACCCGGCTCTAGCCTGGCCCGGGAGGCGCACCTGTAGCGCTCGAGCGTGTCGGCGGACGCGCCGAAGGCGGGCTTGACCTCCTGCAGCGCCTGCAGGAAGTCGTCCATGGTGATCTTGATGTTGTCCTCGTCGATCTCCTTGGTCAGGTCGTCCACGCTGATCTGCCGGTTCAGCGCGAACGACGCCGCGCTCTTGGTCAGCCCCTCCAGCTCCGCACCGCTGAAGTTTTTGGTCATCGCCGCTGCAAGGCATCGACCGCGGATTAGCATGCAGCGATGTCGAGTACCTACCGACATCAACGTTCTGGGCAACCACTTTTTACCGGAGTAGGTACTCTGCCTGTCGAGCGGATCGTGCAAAGAGGCAAGTTGCGCTTGACAGCATGCGGACAGCAGCTGAGGGACAATGCGGGCGGGGTGCCAAACGGCCACGTGAGTCTTGTGCGCCATATTTTGATCGTCTGTGCTTGGCGGGCTCACCCAGCGCGGGCAGGTCGACATTGCGGTCGAGGAAGCTGTTGTCGCGCATCTTGTTGGTGTGGATGGTCAGGATCTGCTGCCGCCCCTTCTCGTCCGGCAGCCCGATCTCCACCTGCACCTCCAGCCGGCCGGGCCTGCCACACACGCAGCGAGGCGGCGCGAGTCAGCCCCCCCCCATTGCATCAACAGGCCCGGCTGTGGCAGATGCTGGCCCGCTGGCCCATACGGTCTCCGGTTGAAGGAAGCTTCGACATGACCCTTGCACGAGAACCTTGGCACACGCCAGTATTGGCGTTTACTGCGAGCGCTCAGCAAAAGGGGCTGATTTGCATTGTCCTGTCTCTGTGAGGAAACAAGACATGATCACGAGACAAACGCTTCGATCTCACGTCGCCGTATGGAGCCGCTGACCTGAGGAGCGCCTCGTCGAGCATGTCGCGGCGGTTGGTCATGCCAATGAGCAGGATGTTGTTGAGTGCATCCACGCCGTCGATCTTGGTCAGCAGCTGGTTCACGATCGTGTCGTGCACGCCCGTGCCGTCCTTAGTCGACCCGCGCGACTTGCAGATGGCGTCGATCTCGTCGAAGATGATGATGTGCAGCGGGCTCTCGTCGCCTGCAATCAGAACCGACAATCTTCACACGGGAACAAAGCGCCGCAACTTTGCACGCTCTTTTTTTCAAACTATTTTCCATTACGATATGGACCACCAGCCCCGACCACCGGAAATGCACCCTTCCTGGAGCTCAATTCTCGTCTTGAAAGCTTCTCCGATCCCGTCCCACATGAACACGGATCCAGCTGGCGCCTGAGCAGGCTCACCCTTGCTCTTCTGGTCGTTCTCCGCGTCGAGGAACAGCTTGCGGATGTTCTCCTCGGAGGCCCCCACGTACTTGTTGAGCACCTCCGGCCCGTTCACCACCTTGGGCTCCTGCCCGTTCAGCATCTTGCCGATCTGCCGCGCAATCAGCGTCTTGCCCGTCCCGGGGGGGCCGAACAGGAGCATGCCCTTCACGTGCTGGATGCCCATCCTGACAAAGCACAATTGAAAGCGTAAACCTCCTTCTTTCGGCCCCTTCAGTGACAAGCGAACCTGACGAAACCAACTTCGCAAGCTTCTTATGGAACGAAATACTCCTGAATATTCATGCGAGCAACAATTTATGGCCTCGTACACGACTTCGATGATACTTACCGGGTAACAACAGAGGGTGGGAAGACTCGGGATGCAAAGGCTCTCCGGAAGATGTCGGCAAACTGCGCATCGAGGCCTCCGATGCCCAGCTTCTCGAAGTTCACCTCCTTCGACTTGAATAGCTGAACGTTGTTTGCGCCCTTCTGGTTCACAACCTGCAGGCCAGCCATCCAGAACGGGGTAAGCACTCTGCACTACTAAACGGATAAAGCAGACACTTACGAAGCAGAGTCGTCGACTGGGCCTTCTTGACCAGGCTCTTCCAAAGCAGATCCGTTGACTTGGCCTCATTGACCCACGTTGAGAACTCCGAGCTTGTCCCGTCTCCTCCGCTGCCAACAGCAGAAGCATAGCTATACGTGACGTTGGAGGCTGTGCTCAAGATTGATGCAGAACAATCTACGACTTGCTCACCTTGATTGACGTGTTGCCACTCTCGAAGAAGAAGGTTGTTTCCGGCGTGAGAAGGCCCCGTGTCATGCTCAGGGCTGGCTTGGCCTCGAGCGCCCCCACGGGCACAGTCTCAGTGACGGTGAACACAAAGTTGCTCCCCCGGAACTCGAACGACGCCCGCTGGCCGACAGTGAATACTTGGCCCGCTAGCCGCTGCTGCAGGATCTTGGATGCTTCGCCAGCATCGATCTACGCAAGGGAAGAGAGCGCAATCAGAAGGACACCACACAAAGGACAGCAAATCATCAACTTCCCTAGCTGATGCATCACCTCTTCTTGATGGTTGATGCTATGGAGGAAGACCTCACTACCTCAGCTTGGCTGTACCCCACAGGAAGACCGCATCTCCAGCATAAACTTCGATTCACTTATCTTCAGACCTCCCCACTTGTGCCTACTCATGACCTGCAATGAGCAACTACAGCGCTTGAATACATACCTTACGGAAGAGTGCTGCTCATTGAAACTATCAATTGCTCAAGGAATGAAGGAAGACGGCCTGACCTGCTCTTCCCTCGCTTTTGCTCGGGTTACAAAGTCCACACTAACTCGAAGCAACGTCAGCGCAAAGTTGCTGACAGGAGGAATGAACCTGCGCAGCATGCCAGGCACCACTGAGTTTCTGAGGCGGTGAAAAGCTCCAAAGCAGCTCATCAACCTACACGAACCCTCACAATTCTGGAAACTCAAGCATGTGTTATCTAACTTCACTGGGTGCTGTGTGGAACCGTATTTTCAATCTAGATCTCAATCATAATGAGTGCGCTTCAAGATTCAAAGAGCATTTGAGAACGATTCTCCAATTGCTGGCCAGGAGGAAGTTCTGCTCACTTGGAGACCACGATGCTCTCCCCTGAGGACGCCTTGGCATCTCGCCTCTGGATCGCGTTCAGCGCCAAACCGCCAGGCTCGACAGCATCATGAGGCGTGCGGAGGAGTCAAGGAAGAGAAGCAACGGCGATGAAACAGAGCAGCACATCAAATACAAGGAGCTTGAGCAATCAAACGTGAAGTGCAGCAACACCCCAGAAGCGTCCAGAATCAGCAAGTTGCCTGCAAGAGCAGTGCCTCTTGACCCATACAGAATCCGAATTGCTTGCAAAAAAGGATATCTGACGCTCAGCACGTTTCCGCTGATCTCCACAAAACCCTTCTGCTCGTGATCCATGGCGTCCAGTGCAAAGGCAGCAGCATCTGCTGGATTCACAAAGGCATGATTGGACAGAGCCAGATCCTGACTTGGACAATTGACCACCTTCACAGGACGCCCGCCCCCCATGACGGTGTCAGGGGAGTTCCACATCACTTCAATTGTGTGGAGAACTGTGAACCTCACGAGCTTCTAGCTAGTCGTTCCACCTGCTCCAACTGCTGAAAAGAAGTCTCCTGTGATGACGCTTTCAGCTTGAAGATGCAGTAGAAGGGAATGGCAAAGGAGAAGGTCCCCTATAGTGAAAGAGGCTTACTTCAGCCTTCAGGGCTGCCCGTTCATTGAAGACGATCAACAAAGAAGAGCTAGGACTCGAACCCCTAATTTTCCTACAGGCGCACTCGAGGAACTTGAGCCGTCCGTTGATCACTGCCGTATATGAACGGATGGAAAGGTCTGACTATCGAACCACAGATTGGAAAGGTGACAATCGGACGGTCAAATTGAGGGTGACACGTGGAGATCGAAGAACTCCTGTCTGATGCAGGGGCATTTACTTTCTGATAAGGACGGGATTTTGTTTTGAGCCAAAGTGTACATACCATGGTACATACAAACAGGGAATCAGCTGCACACATCATCATCAGCAGCCAGCTGTGGTACTTGCTACTCAGGCTGCTTCTGTACCAGTACCTACATAGTACACAGCCAGAGCTGGAGGGGAGCTCAGTGGAAAGACTGGAGAGGCGTACTTGAGTACCGTGGAAGGCACACCGCATGCGAGTCCATCCGGAGACACGTAGGTACGACTTCAGCATCTCTTTTCAGGAGGGCGGTCCGCATGCAGACCCCCGCACCGTGAGCCTACCGGTATTGCAACTTTACTGCTATCCCTCCCACATTTGTTGGTAGGTAATCCAGGTTAGCTGCAAGCCACCAATCCTTCCTCGCAAGGAGACAGATTCACTGCAGCAGCAGGAGGCATAGGGTTCTTGTTGGAGTGCGTTTCTGCTGAATTTCAATTCTTGTCATCTATCTTCAGCAATATTTGAAGCTTCACGTGGGTGATACCTTTGCCTAGCAGAATGGCCAGCAGTGACTTGCCCTCGAGGACGGTGAAGCCAAAGCATGACGAGAGCCGCACGATGAAGGCAATTGCGTGGATGGGCAAGAAGAGCGTGCATGTGTCGGACAAGCCGGTGCCGCTGATCACTGACCCGGTGGGGGGGCCACACTATGGGCATATTGCCCGGATGTCCAGTACTGTTGCTTCACACATGGACTATGCTTGCTTCCCACTTTTTCACGCAGACCTCATCAGGTTTACTGATTAGCCATTTCTTGTTCAGTTGCTTCTGAAGGTGCTTCAAGCACCGTACGGCAAGCCACTGCTTGAGTGGCACAAGCGTGTCAATCAGCTCTGGACGCACGCACGCTTGCCTCAGGATATTGTGCAGCCATTTGCACGTTTGGTTTTGAATCTGGTTAGAGTGGCACAGTGCATGCACCTGTTTTACCAAAGATAGAGATGGCTTTGATCAAATGTGATTGTAGTCTGTGGTCCACCTTTATTGGGTGAAGCCCTGGTGCCTTCTCATCCTCACATGCATGTGCCCTCTTGTCTCAGTTTCCTGTTCTCTGACTGTGACTTGGTGGTTGTGCCACCTGCTGCAGCACGACGCCATCATCAAGGTGACGGCCACCGCCATCTGCGGCTCTGACCTGCACATCTTTGTCAACGCCATGCCCGGTATGACCAAGGGCGACATCCTGGGGCACGAGTTCATGGGCATCGTCCAGGAGGTCGGGCCGGAGGTGAGCACACCCCACTGCAGCACACGCCAGACCAAAGCTGTGTGTGCAGGGTTAGAAGCTGTAGTAAGTCTTCAGGTGTAAGATTCATATGCACGGCTGACGTCTTGTGAATGTGTTTGTTTTTTTGTGAAATTCCTTTATCAGCCGTCTTGGAGGAGTTTTCTGATGGGCGTCTGAATCATTCAGATGGAGCACCCGGCAAACTAGCTGGGCGGGTCTGCCAATACTTGCTGTATGGAGGGCATATTGACTGTCTCCTCTTGGATTGCAGGTGACCAAATTCAAGCCCGGTGACAAGGTGGTGGCCTGTTTCGACTTGGGCTGTGGGCAGTGCTTCTACTGCAAGCGCGGCCTGTGGAGCTGTTGTCAGGTGACCAACTCCAATCGCTTTACCGCTCATTGTGTTTAGACACCTGTCCCACTCTCACTTGGCCCTTCGTTAGATTGTGATTTCCTCTCTACTTTCAGTCTCTCTTTTTGACGTTATACTCTTCTTCTTCAATTTAACTCTCTTAGCAATCTTACCTCTCTGCTCTTCTAGGTCACCAATCCTAGCAAGGAGCAGGAGGCGATGTATGGTGACCGGACAGCTGGCATGCACGGCTACTCTGCCATGACGGGAGCTTATGAGGGCGGGCAGGCGAGTCGACTGTCTGTTTCGGAGCTGGACGCTGTCTCTTTGCTGTGACAGCAAATGCCTCTTGTCCTGATGATCTGTAGCCTTCAAGACTTGACAATGTTGACCGTAAGACATCCTTACTATAACGTTTTTAGTCACACACTATCACACGTGTTAGCAGAATGTTGGTTGCTGGGCGTCATGATGAAGGCATAAGGTGCTGTGCTCATGCTGCTTTCTTGTTTGCAGGCGGAATATGCAAGAGTCATTTTCGGTAAGTGTCCCTTGCAATCTGTGTGTGACAGACGTCAACGAATGCTTACCGTAGCACTCTTGCTGCGATCTACTGCACTTGCCCTTTTGAAGCTCAAAGTCTTTAACTTGGAGCATTCCCTGCGTCTTAAGTTTGCTTTGTCGGGTTCTGGTCAGCACAGAGTCCAGCAACCCTGCTCTTATTCCAATTTTCAATGTCGGACTGCGTATCTTAAATTCCGCTACGTAGAGAGTAGAAGACCATCCAGGTTCCGGCCTTTTGGTACTGCTTGCTGCGGCGTCCTTCGAGCTGGGACGAGGGGCTCACTCCAGTCTTTTGGCTTGCTGTGCAGCTGACGTGAACCTGCTCAAGGTCCCCAACGACGCCGCCGACGAGAAGTACCTGTTCCTGTCCGACATCCTGCCCACCGCGTGGCACGCCACCGAGCTGGGGGAAGTCAGCGAGGGGGACACCGTCGCCATTTGGGGCGCAGGCCCGGGTGAGCAAAGCACACTCGGCTGAGACGGACCTCCTCAATGTGAATCAGTTCCACTTCATAGTCGCCTTTCCTGCGCTCTTCTTATTTCCCTGCTGATATGCGCCTCCATAAATGGGGCAATCATCACCGGCCTCCGTGAAGCCCGGAGCTCGTGCGTCGCCAGAGCGGAGCTCTTAAGAGGAGCCTTTTGGTTCAAGAGTGACCATTGTTCCTTCTCGTGCTGCGCAGTGGGCATCCTGGCGGCGCACTGCGCTGCTGCCCGCGGCGCGAAGCGCATCATCATGGTCGACAACCAGACGTACCGCCTCGACTTCGCCACGAGCAAGATTCCGGGGCTGGAGACGGTCAACTTCGGCGAGAAGAAGGTGATGGAGACGCTCAAGGAGATGACGGGCGGCCACGGCCCCGACGTGGCCATCGAGGCGGTGGGCTTCCACTACTGCAAGAGCTGGACGCACGCCATCGAGACCGCGCTCATGCTCGAGACCGACCCCTCCGAGATGCTCAACGAGATGATCGTCTCCGTGCGCAAGGTGAGGCCCCGATCTGGTCACCAGGACTTCGGACGACGAAGCTCCCCTTGCGCTCTTGGTGATCGACTTGTCTGCTGCTCGGTTCGACTCGATCTTGAGTCGCAGGAATTCCTGCTGAGTACTCGTGGACGCTGAGATTGTCCGCAGCTTCTCGGCTTGTCCACGGAGTTGTCTGCAGCACCCCTGCACGGAGTCTCTGTATCGCTGCTAAGTCCCAAAAAAGGAGAGTGTCGATAGCGAAGGGCTAAGCGTGGGGGAAGGGAAGGGGGCGAGGTCGGAGGGGGGGAGGGGAAGGATGAGAGGAGGCGGGGAGTTCTTCCGGACGGTAAGTAGACCGTCAAATTTGGGTGGAGCAGATTGTTATCTTTTCTGAACACCCTATTTCGTCTGTGATACTGACCACGTCAGTTGTCAGGGCATCTTCAAGGCGTTCCTTTCTGTGCCTCTGGCCCACTGAGGATCAGCTGGCCGGTCGTCCGGTGATCCCTAGTGACTTTGAGACGAGATGCTTCCGCAACACTGGGGCCCGCAATCAACTTGGACTGGCTTGTGCAGGGCGGTCGCATCTCCATCGTGGGAGTGTACGCAGGCTTCACGGTAAGCCCTTCCCCAGCACTCTTGTTATCAGAACCCTCGCCGGGCCGGCACGAGCAACACGTGCTTTTGCTGCCAGTCCTGAACATGCCAAAAGCACGCTGCGAAAGCTGTTGATTTCAAGGAAACTTGTTTTGCGTCAATTGTCTCGCATCATCTGAAGAGCTGTCGGAAAGCAGGACATTTCTGGCACGCTCAAAGAGCCCCGCCTTCCCTTATTCTGTAGTTTAGAGCGGTTGTGAAATGTATATCACGGCCTGCCTCCAGTTTGAAACGTTCAATCCTGCTTTCGTGGCAGAACCACTTCAACATCGGCGCGTTCATGGAGAAGCAGCTGACGATGCGCGGCGGGCAGACGCCGGTGCAGAAGTACTGGCACGACCTGAAGACGCTGATCGACAAGGGCGTGCTGGACCCCACCATGGTGCTCACGCACACGCTGCCGCTGGACCAGGGGCCCGAGGGCTACAAGATCTTCAACGACAAGACCGACGGCTGCGTCAAGGTCGTGCTCAAGCCGCAACTCATGGCTGCCGGCGCATAGACGATCAACGACCACGAGAACGGGCAGGGCCTTAAAATGAAATGCCCCAAGATATAGCTGCACCACACTTGTGCTTATAGATACCACCGTAGAGGCTCGTTGGCAGAACTTTTGTAACTTATGTGCCAGAGCGGCTAGTCATGTCGGATGGAAATGTATCATATGGACAATTTTGTGTAGAACTTCAAATCGTACGTAGCACTCATAGTCGCCCCTGAGCAGAGAAAACTCCGAGCTAAGACTCTCGATCGCTTAGTTGTGAGAGCCTCGTAAAAGACTTGAGAAACCTGTGAATCTAATCAACTGAGGGTTTTCTGCGCCCGGCAACTTGCTGCTGGTAGTTATTGTACTGAAAGAAGTTGCGCCCCGTTCGTCTCGGGAAACTCCGCATGCAAAGCACTGCATCTTATTGGGGCAACTTGATTGTATGTGAACCGCTGAGCCTCTGCACATATTAATTCTGGGGCGCGCTCATTCTGACGTGTGCTTAGCAACGTTTACTGACAGACACCCGGGCTTAGCTCCATGAGATAGACTTACATGTTATCACACCAGTGAAACCTAGTATATCCTAGTATAACTCATTAGCGCTGAATATGATCGTAGGATTTCACATGTAAAATTCATTTTTGCCCAATCTTTGGCGGCCGGCCCCAGGGCCGTACGGTCATGAATCATCAATTCGATTCTAACACAGTCGTCTATCGAGTACTATATACGGATTGCAGCTTAAAATCATTGCTTATGTCAACGCCCGACTCCGCTCAATTGTATCAGTAGCTCGATCAGAACTTGGAGTGATTGCGTTTCACACATCTCGAATGAATGCCAGATCGACCCTGAACATAAGACGGGCAGCCTGGCGCAATTTAGGCGGGACCCGCCTACCAGTGTATACAAACGGGCCTCGAACGCATTGCACACAAATCGTGCAAGCTCCTGTGCCGAAAGATTTTAGGCAGATAGCCTTGTCCGGTCAGGGAGTACCACTTGATCCATTTCCTCATCACACGTCATCTTGGCCATTCGCCAATTCCTGCCTGTGCGTGCCAGCTTTTTCTCTTGAGAAAAAGACCAGGTAACGTGTATCTAAAATGATCTCGCGTAATCAATGGGCACCTGCTAAATGGCATGCCGGAGATTCAGGAGGCTCCTTCGTGTCCGTCGACACGACTCCCAACTCCATGTACTTTTTGCAATCGGCGGGGCGAACCAAGCGTTGTGCTCAGGGCCGCTAGCGGCACACTGCCCCCACCGTTGAATGCTCGTGCGTGCAATCTGTATAGTACAGTCTCAGCATCTATGGTTCGTCGGGATCTTCCTCTTGCGCGCTCTCCTCGCTGCTGCTCTCCAAGAACTCGTCTACCCTTTCCGCGGCTAGGTCGGCCTGCAACCAGGACGGCATCATCATCGTAGTCAAGAAACAAGGCAATGCCCCTGTGACGTCAGAATGACTCCAAGAGCATGAATTACAGGCGCGCCATTGTGCGCGGTATTGGCCAAAAAGGGGTGTCCTTTGGTCCGACGCGCCCACAGTCGCAGCTTCGCATGGACTGTGCCACGATGTCAGCGAGCTTGGTGCAAAGGGACACGTCGTGCACGCGGTCTGGAAAGGCAGAGTGTGCGCGTACCTGGAGCGTCCAGTCCGTGTGCAGCAGCAGCGCCATGAGCAGCACGATCTGGACCGTCACGCCCAGCATTAGGCCGTACCACAGCCCCTGCACACGCGCCACCCACGCGTAAAGCACTGGCCCACGTTTGCAAGCTTGAACCAGACGTGACGACAACCCACAAGCTACCGCAGCATATTCCTATCTTGCAAGCAGGCTGCAACCGAGCACCTTGCGAGACTCTTAAAGGTATGACAGGCCGTGTTTTACGACCGTTCAAAGCTGCTAGAGTCCACTATTGGTATCGTGCAGCGGTTCCTTGAAAGGGAGAATCCGTGTTGGAGCCAAGGCTCATACTGTGGTGGTTTCCGTGAGGCAATCATGAGCCGCACTCAGGCGTCTCGGTCGGTGGTTTCAAGACATTTGCTCTTTAGCAAGGGCGCTGGCTGACGCGGCCTGCCACCGGGGGCACCGGAGCGAGCATGCTTCACGAGCCGAGGGGAGGGACGAGACGCAGAGGGGCTGACCTCGAGGCCCCAGTGCCACTTGAAGGTGAACCAGATCAACGCGGGCACGCCAACGGCGTAGTAGCAGATGAAGTTGATCACGCTGCCCACCAGCTGCTGACCGCTGCCACGCAGCACGCCTGAGCACGAGCCACCAGTAGTGAGGCCCGAAGAAGTACTGAGGCGGTGTGAGTGGCGGCGCACCTCACTTGCCAGATCACTTGAAAGGGCCTGAAGCTTGTGAGAAGCTTGGAGTTGCCCAAGAAGCAACGAGCCAGCCAAATCTCACATGAAGTACGGAACTTGCATAACACCGTAACACCTCGCAGCTACACTTAGCAGGCGACGTTTTACTCAGCATACACGACGGACAACTCGGACGGGCTCTTCCGTTGACAACTCGAGACGGTCATTATTAGAGGGTACGCAAAAAGGGCCTCGGGACGCGGGAATTGGCGGCTCACCCGAGAGGATGGCTTGCAGCGCCACCCCGAACTGGGAGGCGACCACGAGCGGCATGAGCTGCGACACGAGTGCGATGACGCCCGTCTCGTCGGCGGACGTGAAGAGGAGCGCCCACTGCTTCCGCACGAGCAGCAGCAGCAGCGACACGCCCGCGCCCACCAGCAGCGCCAGCCCGATGCTCGTGTGCAGCGCCAGCCGCGCACGGCCCGGCTTGTTCGCGCCCAGCTCGTTGCTCACACGGACACTGTCGACGGGACGTCCACAAGTGTTTCGAGATCCGGACTGGCTTGACAAACTTGAGCAGCGTGTGAGGACGCGCCAAAATGACACGAAGGAGTCCCTTGTCCCCTTGCCACCTCGCCAGAACTCGCCGAGCATTGAGAATCACGGACTTTACGAAACAAACGGTACTGCTTCTCCAACTTTTATAACGAGTGCAGCGTCACAGGATGATCAGCGAAACTGCACGAAGATCCGGGACGGCTTGGCTGGCCGCTCTCACAAAACGGGATCGAGGGTGATTAGTGGAAGGCGCGGCGGCGCACCTGACGGCGGTGCTGAGGCCGAGGGGGAGCATGAAGCAGAGCGCGGTGGTGTTGAAGCAGACGGTCATGGCCGACACCTGGTCCTCGGGGTTGGGCAGCAGGCCCGCCAGGATCACGATCAGCTCGAAACACCACAACTCCAAACTGCACGACAGGGCGCCACCGAACTCACTCGGATATCTTACGAACAAGCAACAGAGACCGCGACCTGAAGGACGTACGACGGTGCACTCCTGAGTGCCTGATTCATCACGTCCTTTCTTTAGTTGACAAAGAGACCAATTGTCAAAGGAACCCCCTCGGTCACATATCAATGTTGAATAGGATTCGATAGTCGCCACCCGGAACCTGCTAAAAGATCATCCATCTAGTTGGCGAGCTCGCACGCCGGTTGCTCGCAGCGCCTCCTCACCAGGTCATCAAGCATGCCGGAATTGCGAGCGCCAGGAAGGGCCCCCAGTCCTCGAGGCAGTCGCGCGACCAGCCGTCCCACGTGCGCTCCAAAATCCCGCTCGTCTCATAGCGGAGGTACAAAACGAGCAGCCCCAGATTCACGATCTCGGAGAACGAGTTAGCAATGGCGGCGCCGGTGAAGCCGAAATCGAACGTGTAGATGAACAAGTAGTTGATGGGGATGTGCAGCAGCAGGCTTAGCCCGGAACACAGTGCCAGCGGGTATGAGATGGCCTGCACCAAGGAGCAGAAAAGTTGGGCCCATGGAGTAAGCAACGGCAACCGGCTTCCCAATGCTTTCATCCCGGCCAGAGATGCCGTAGGGGAAGTCGAGGGAAACACCACCCTCCCGCTGTTGCAAATTCACTAGAAGGGGTGGTTCACAAGACAAAGCAGCCCAGAAAGCGAGATCCTGTCCGAGAACCCTTTGCGAACAGTGCGTTCCCAGGACGTGGTCTGCTACAAGAAGGCATAACCGTCTCTGTTTGTCTCTCGCACAGAACTCTGTGGAAAGAATTGAACCCAATTGCCTCACCGATTAACGCCCTACACTGCCCTCGCTATCTACGCCCAGCTAAAGTGGCGAAAAAACAGTGTCATGCATAGCGAAGAGCAAAACTCACCTGGCTCTGAATGTACTCTGCGACCGGGTATAGCCAGGCGGAGGCGACGAGGCCAGGTATGAGGTAGAGCATGTACTGGCCCGCGAGGGCGGCGATGGCGGGCTCCTGGTGCCAGAGCAGCAGGATGTCCTCCGCCTTGAGCCACAGCAGGGCGATGGGTATACAGAAGATGGTCATGATCACGCCCCCCCGCTGCAGCATCAGCCCCAGCTGCTCGTACTGCTCCGCGCCGTACGCCTGCCCGCACAACGTCTCCAGGGCACTTGCGAGGCCCTCCTGGGAACAGGGGGGAAGGGGGGCTTACCTCAGGCAAGGCCGACGTCAAGCACAGATAGAAACTGTCTCTAACAGTGTGATCGATATACAGGCCGTGAATGCAACAAGAATTCCCCTCTTTTCGAGGAAGCCCGATGCAAGCTAGATCATTCTGACACCAAAAACTTTACGCCCTGCTCCTGCGAATGGATGCCTGCACAAACTGGCGGCATATTAGCCCGGCGATGCACTGGGCGGGGGCTCACCATGACAGAGATCCCGGTGACATTCGCAACGCTGGCGGCCAGGGCAGCCGCTGCCAGCTGGGTGGCGCCCAGGTGGCCCACAAACATGACGGACACGAGCGCCAGCATGAACTCAAAGATGTTCATGGTGCTGATGGGCAGCGCCATGGTCCACTGCTTGTACGCCTCCGCTTTCAGGTTCGCCACCGCGGGCAGCCCCACCAGGGGCAGGTCCTTCTCATCTTCTAGCTCGGACTGATCGTCCGCAGCGATGGGCCCAGTCTGCCCATGCAGCAGCGGGGCTTCCAGGTCGGTGGTCACGCCAAACGGGCGATCAAAGCCCATGCCCAAACCGAGCGGTGGCTGCAGAGGTCGTGGGCGGGTCTTCTTCTCGGGAGGTTTGATGGGGGGCCCTTCAGCTTCATCTGCATCATCTGCGGACCAACTGCCTTCATCCGGCACTTCTAGCAGGGTGCTATGAGGAACGCTGTTGGAGCGACGATGGCGGCCGGTGGGGGGAAGCGGTGAGTGAGGCAAGCCAGGCCTGTGCCCATAGTGTCGTGGCACATCTATCACTTGCGTGATAGCTTTCCTACTGGCAGAGTCGCTCCGCCGAAGGAACTGAGGGGCGGGCTTGGTACTGCTCGGCGCCATGGTAGCATCACCTGCGTTACTTCAGTGCAAAGGCATGCAGCAAAAGATCATCCAAAGATAAATCACTGGCTTCCTGCATGTCATTGTTATACCTTCTGCATCATGCTACAACAGCAAGACCTTGCCAAACCAAGGCTGATCTTAAAGGAAGGCGCCCTGAACCCTACGAAGGCTGAAGAAAAGTATGCGTGTGCGCTGCTACACATGCTAGCTCAGGCTGCAACCCTTCTGCTGCAGTTGAAAAGCAGATTGACCAGATCTGATGGATTTTTAATCCTCAGGATAACCCGCTTGAACACTACTAAAGCGTGTAACTTCTTCTAGATTCCAAACCTTGTATTCGCCCGCAACATGTTGCAGAATGCGGCTGCTCGAGAAGGTACGTTCATGAATGCGATTAGAGTTGGACCGCGAGCCATTGAAGCAGAATTCTCAGGACTGCGGCTGAGCTCTCATGAAACTTTCAATGTCATTTGAAGCCAGTGGCAGTGGCAGTGCTGTCACAGTTGTCCAAGGCCGCCACAGTCGCTTGCGCTGGGTCGCGGTGTCAGGCATGGCGATGGCGGCTCTGACAAGCAGGGGCAATTGCTTCGCATGTGCCCCTGTGCCGCATGCAGACTTGCAGGCGAAAAGGACACACAAACCTCGAAATGTTTCAGCAAGGCCTCTTGTTGGGCGGTTGGGCAATGCAGCTCTCATTTTCCAGCAATTGCGTCCCCCTCAGAGTTTGTCACCAAGGCAATGGGCCAGCAAAGCCCTAAGAAAGCAGCCGCCAGCTTCTCCAGTGGCAGCTATAACTGCTGTCGGAACAGGGGGCAATGGGGAGTTTGAGAAGAAGCTCCCTGCTAGCGAGTTCCTCGATGACCCCGAAGTGGGCCAGCGCAGTGAAACAGGGAGGTACCTTGGAAGGAAGGAGACACCTGTCACGGTGGTCATCGATGGCAAGCTTCTGGCAGAGGGTGCCCGCAAAGCAGGGGAGGCTGCGAAAAAGACCTTCTGGCCCCCAAATAAGGTGAGGGAGATTTTTTCTGCATTGCACCCAAGCAGAGTCAGTATCCTGCATTGCACGTCAAATGGAAACCCTCTCGTGGATGTACCACCCCGGCCATCAACAGCTTTCTGTTTACCACTTCCGCATCGGTCAACTTACTGTCTAGCCGTATCATCATCATGCCCCTTCAGAGTTTGCTGGTTCGCTGCAACATCTGGTTTGTTGCTGTGCCTTCCCTTGCCCCAAAGCGCAAGGCGTTGCTCCTGCACACAATACTACACGCTCTTTAGATCATCTTGAAGTCTGCAGAAAACAAACTTACCACTGCCCCTTGAATTTCCTGATTTCAAGTTACAATGAGACTCGCCGTTACCATCTGATGATGTGACCACCCTGGTTGACTAGCTGCATTCACCATTACCAAGTTCTCAAACCCTGGTGCTTTGTTTTTGGGCAGTGTGTTAACGCGCAAAGTAACCGCACTTTTGCAGAATTGGATTCCTTTCCTGGTTGCCCCGGCTGCCTTGCTGCTTGCCCTGGTGGCTGCCCGGCTGCATCAGCTCAAGTCCGCTGCAGTCCCCCCCTCCGTGACCACCAGCATCGCCATGCCCCTCGAGCCTAGGGGGCCCGCGCCAGAGCTGAGAGTGGTGGGGGTCCTGGGCAGCCTCCCGGGGATGGCCACGCAGGCAGCAGCGGTCGATGCACACCCACTGGGCCAGGGCAGCCTGAGCCGGGAGAATGATGGCATGAGCTCAGCGAAGCAGGTTGAGCGGCGGGTGGACGGTCAGTTGGCACGCAACGACAACAGAGACCCGCACATTCCCAGGCCACAGGCTCCGGCCAAGCCAATTCATGAGCTGAGCGACATGGATTTCTATGACCAGCTGCAAAAGGAGGCGGAGATTGAGGCGCGGGTGCGGCAGGCGCAGGGGTTCCCCATGAAGGACGAGACCAAGTTCGGGGTGTTTGACGAGGAGGAGCGCACCGTGATGCAAGAGCTGGTGGATTCCGGGGAGCTGGACGCGGACACGCAGAAGAAGCTCGAGGAGCTGCTGGCGCAGGAGGCGGGCAACAGCAAGATGCGCAAGGCCGCGCAGCGGGCGCTCGGGAAGCGTGTGCGCAAGGCGCGGGCGGGGGGCCGGTCGCCCGTCTCCGACAAGGACATCAAGGAGCTGGAGGAGGCGGTGGCGTCGGGGATGCTGGACGAGAAGGTGCAGAAGGACGTGGAGGCGTTCCTGGAGGAGGAGCGGGAGTTTCAGAAAGAACTAGAGGAGAACAAGTACGACGACGCGGACTATGACATCAGCGAGTACCTGGAGGAGGAGGAGGACCCCGAGCTGGAGGCGCTCATCCGCCAGATGGTGGAGTCGGGGGAGTTTGAGATGCCGGCGGACGAGGACGATGATGAAGAGGAGGCAGCGCCGTTTGGCCAGGTGCGCAGAGCCGAAATGGACGGTCTACAAATGTGGGGCCCAAATGGGGGTGCAATTGTTTGTGCTGCGGCTGAAGGGATGTAGGAAGATTTGGGATAGGGGGGGGTGGAGCTTATTTATGAGTTTCTTGTTCTCACACCGGCCTTTTGATCATCATCTTTTAGAGATGGCCAATAGCATGGTCACAGAACATATCTCAGTGGTGAATCTGTTGACTCACTGAATTTTCCGCAGATGATCCCTTGCCAATGGTTTGTTAGGCCTGTGCTTGATTACCAGTCTTGTGATATCATGATTACGATCAGCAGTACTTTTTTGACTTTGGGAGAATTCTGACAATTCTCATTGCAAGATGAGAAACCTAGACGACCTCGGTTGTTGCGCATTCACCATGCGTGCGTGGCCATGTGCCTGCCTTGTTAGTTTAACCCGAGGATAGAGCCAAGGTCTTAATCATCAGTTGGTCAGGGTGGCGGAGGCTTTCTGTGAGCATCATGCTGAAACCACAACATGACTCCTGGGGCCTTGCAGGGCAGCGCGGACGTGGATAGCGACATGTTTGACGAGAACGAGATGTTTGACGACCTGGACGAAGACTGGACTGATGAACATGAGGAGCCATCAAGTAGCGGGGCCGCAACTGGAGGGTCCAAGCAGGGGCAAAAGGGGGCACAAGCAACAGACGGCGGGGCACAGAAAGGGGGTGGCCAGAACAGGCGTGTGACGGGGCTTAGAGAACTGACGGACAAACTGGGCCTCACCATGCCAGCTGGTGAGAGCGGGCGAGACTGGGAGGCGGAGCTCAGAAAGAAGAATCTGGCGCGGATAGGGCCGTTTGATTTTGCGAACTCCGATAAGAATGAGGCGGACAAGGGTCCGACGCCACAGGCAGAAGCAGCAAAGCCTTCCTCATCCTCAGAAGCAGAGGAGGCACTTAGAAAGATTGCAGAAACCACAAGTGCAGAGCAGCTTGGGAGCGATGGTGCTCCTTTTCAAGGGAAGGAGTTCCCGTTCAGCGAGGCCTTTCAAGAGGCGACGGAGGCGGCTTGGGGTGCCGAGCATCCAGAAGAAGTACGGGAGAGCAGCGGAGAGGCTGACGCAGAGAGAGTAGAAAGGGAAGCGGGGGGGGTGGCTGAAGTGCAGGTTGCGGCTGTCAGGAGGAGCGGGACAACGGAAGACGGACAGGAACGGGTGGAAGAAGAGATTGTGATCCGGGTGGGGGAGACGGAGGACTCAGGCGCAGGTGTGTTGACTGGGGATCTTTGAGCTCCTGAAGAATATTTACCATCGAGACTGAGGATTAGCAATTTGCTAGTTTCTTTGACGACTAGGTGCCTTTCTGTTCCTCAATTTTCAGATGTCAAACTTTGGATTGTTTTCGCTTTCTGCCTTCGGATTCTGGAGAGCAGGCAGGCTTTGTTTTCGCCTAAGTCGCAGGGAGCAGAGTCATCTTGCTGCATCGTGTATCTTGGATTCCTAGTCTGCCGCTATGTCATGAACTATACGGCTTCTGCAGGGTCACCTGGCGACGCTGATGCCACCATTGTCCTCTCCACCTCACAAGACGGGACAGTGGAGGATCTGGAGGAGGGGAACACCGGGGCAGGCGCTGCGCCAAACTCTGACTCTGCTGCCGCCTCGAGTCCTGGCTCGCCTGCCGCGGACGAGCGTGCTTCGAGTAGCGCTGGGGCGGGGATGACGCTGGCCGGGGAGGACGTGACCCCGCTGGTGGAGCTGCTGCAGTCCCGGGAGGGCGACGAGGCGTACGCGCAGGGGACGTCGTGGGGCACGTACGACGAGCTGTCGCCCATGAAACGGAGGTGGCAAGTGGTACGTACTGCTCCGATCGGGCCTTCACGTCAACGGGCTAAGGCTCGTATGTCTCTCAAATGGTTCAGCGTGACTGTCGCTGTGGCGGCTGGTTCATCCTGCTCTACGTACATACAGACAGACTTGTCGCAAAGTTGACTTTGTTGACGGCGGCTTCTTCATCGAGCTGCACCTAAAGACCTTGAAGGTCCCGTGACCAGTCGCTGCGAAGTCACCAACATCTGATGTACATACCGCCTCAAAGGTACGTAGTCCTATGTTGCTTGTGAGCCAGATGCTCATGTAGTTAACGTCAAGCTTCCTGTGCTTCTCTCAAACCGCTCCTTCCTCTGCTGGTGCAGTGGGCCGACCGGCAGTCCAACCAGGTCCGGCTCGGGTCGGCCCGGGTCAAGCTCATCGACAGCCGCGACATCAAGTTCTCTGCAAAGGAGCCCGCCATGGAGGGCAACCGACACTTCGTAAGTAGAACGCTCCGTGTTCGTCCCGTCACGAAAGGTGCGGGAAAGGACCTGCTCCTGTTGCTTCCTGCATATGGCAGACTTTCGCGTCCAGGAGTTTCAACAGGAGGTTTTGTTCAAATATGCTTCGGAGAGCTTCATTACTCTCGGAGCAGATTCCACAGCAGCTGATACCACCCCATCCCTGGTACGCTGACCATTGCTCCCGTCTGCATGTGCGCAGGTGTACCAGGTGCTGTACAACGGCAAGCGGTACGCTCTCAAGATGTCGAAGCGGCCGCAGGACCGCGGCACTCAGCACCTGCTTGTAGACGAGGCCACCAACCTGGCGGCGGCGCAGGCGCCCAACGTGATCGCGCTGCAGGGCGTCGTGCGCGACCTGGGCAGTCTACCCATCTACCGCCTCGGCAGGGTCGGCGGGCCGCTCATGACATCAGAGCAGCTGGCGCAGGGCGTCAAGAACGGCACCGTCGAGGAGCTGCAGTCAGCTGTGCTGCCGGGTACGTCAACTGCGCAACGTTGCCGGCTGTCTTTGCGAGGATTTTTTTGTCCTGCAACATATTATGTTTCATAAATCGTACAGAAGATGATCAGAGAGTTGGGCCTGTCTGATCCTGCTCGCTTCAATTGCTAGGGGTAGAGGCTGTGCCGCCAAAGGAACCGTCCGGACACAAAGGACTCACCATTCTTATTTGTCAGCCTCGTGAACCTTACGCTCCCAATCTTCGTGGAAAGTAGCTTAAGGAGTTTGCGAGATTGCTGAGGGCCCTCCTGCTTTCGCGCAGACGGTAGCAAGCGGTTGGTGAAGGCGATCCTGGCGGAGGGCAGCGGCGAGCGGTCGCCCAACGTGTACGGCATTCTGATGGAGTACGCGGAGGGGTCCGACCTGCAGGCGCAGATGGACAAGGCCGGGCCGGGCCACTCCGTCAACGTCGACGAGGCGTGGCACATCTTCCGACAGGTGCGCTGCGCACCACTGCCACTGAAACCTAGTGTTTTGTGCACGCGTGCTGGCAGGCCATCGTTCGTTCTCACTTTTTACGTGGTACGATGAGGGACGTTCGTGGAGCAGAATTGAGTTTTTTTAGGAGGATGTAGTTACACTCTGCCCCCCGCCCAATGTACCTTTGAAGCCAGCATTTTCTCACAGACCATCGGTTTCGGAACCCAACTCAAGACGCAGCCAGGGAAGTTATTTTTGCCATCCTCGAGGTCCATCATAAATGTTGCAAACCTGCGGTTCTCGGGAATGTTCGTGCAGACGACTTGTTGTAGCGACCCGTTGTAGCGGCCCTCCGCCTCCATGTTGACGTCTGTCGTTTTCCTGGTGCTGCAGCTGGCGGTGGGCCTGGGCGAGGTCCACGCTGCGAAGCTGGCGCACAACAACGTGGACCTGTCCAACGTGCTGCTGGTCCGCGACGACAGCCAGGCGTCCGGCGTGCGCTGCTGCTGGAGCGGCCTTAGCCTCGCCAAGAAGACGGACAACCACGGCAATGTGCGCCTCTCCACGGAGGAGCGCCTCGCCCGCCTCATGCGCCAGGACGACTACTACCAGGTGAAGCCCGCAGGAACTCTCGGAGACCGCAGATGTCGTGTATGCGCTTACGCTTTTCCCGTTTGGTCATTGGAGGTGTGGCTCCGTTTATGTCCGAGCATGGTAATCAGCTTCACCTAAGCGTCCTTCGCTGATTGGAAGAGCGGACATAATAGGGCTGCACTGGGGTGCACGGTGGAAGAGGGTACTGTACACTCTGAAGCCAGGTTGGCCTGGCTTCGCTGCACAATACCTACGAAGGGGAGGCCTTACTTTCGAGTCCCTATCGGGAAGCACCTTTCGACCGAGGAAATGGCTTTATTTTCGAGGAGTGACGTACCTCAACTCTTGTTTTGGCGCAGGCCCCGGAGCTGACGGACGAGAGTGCGGCGGTGCTGTACAACGGGTTCAAGGCGGACACGTACTCGCTGGGCAAGGCGTTCCTGCTGCTGGTGGGCGACGAGTACGAGGCGCAGGCCAGCGCGGAGAGCGAGGCGGTGCGCGACATGGACCTCATGTTCGGCATGACGCTGCAGCCGGAGCCGGAGGACCGCGCCACCTCCGTGGAGGTCATGGAGTTCACGCGCCAAAAGGAGCTCGAGGCCATCGAGCGCTGGCGCGAGAAGGAGGACGAGAAGCTCCAGGAAATGGTGGGGGACGCCGCCGCTGCATCAGAGATTGGCTCGGCCAGCCTGTCTCCTGGATCATGTTGTTCAGAAAAATGGAATCGAAACTGTCAACACAAAAGTAGGTCTGGAACAGAGGACTAGCTTGATATTGTTTAAGGAGCTGGGTCCTTGACAAGAAGTGACTCCGCTCGGGGCTTCGGAAGCTCTCTGTCGTGACTTCGGTTGATTTCGTTCCCGTTGGAAATGACGGTTGATAACTTGATGTTTCAGAAGGGCCAACCTTTAGAAACAGATTCTGTTAAGTAGTTCCTGTTCCCAAGCGATTAGGAAGTGCTGCGCTTCGGCGTCAGGTGTGCCGACTCCGCAGATGAGTCCGCTCCCGTGCCTCCCATAACCCTCAACTTTGCTTGCTTTGCTTGCCCAGGCTCGGGCCGGGCTGCCCAAGACGGACGAAGAGATTGTGCTGGAGAACATGATGGACGAGGACCCCAACGAGCTGCGGGAGGTGGAGGAGGCGGCCTACGCTGCGCTGGTGGAGGAGATGCGCAAGCGGCAGGCAGCCGCACTGGAGCAGAGCGAAGGACAGGGCCAGGGGCTCACCGGAAGGGGCAAGAGGGAAGCGGGGAGAAGTGCTTCACAGGCGGCCAGCAACAGGACGAAGTAGCGCAGACGTTAATTGTGCAAGCGGTGGAGGAGGCTACCGGTGGTGGCCACCAAGGGGGGCGCCATTTTGGTTTGTTCCCGCTTCAACCAGGGTATTGCAACTGACCGCGTTCAATGAACGCTCACCAACCATACACGGGTGTCGGCTGTCCATGCAATGTCGACCTATTTCGATAGCAGATCTCTCATATTGTAAGGATATGGCGCTGTAGCCAGTTCCAAGTTTTGACTCCAGGTCGGCGGATTCAAATAAGTTCAAATAGGGCACTATTCTCCTCGGTCTGTCGAATCACTGAACACATCCTGGGTTTGTCGAATCACTGAACACAGGCCTGCGCGAACGTGGAGCCTCGTTATTATAGCTGCTACATGCGCATCAAATCCGCTCCATGTAGTCGTCCAAGTTTGCCAGGTGCCAAGTAAAGCTTAACGTCAGTCATTGTTGCATACACCACTGCAACCACTAAAATTATTACAGTGTTGGACGTTCTAAATCAAGCACACTGGCACTAACTAGCTTGAGTGTTTCCGGCTCTGCATTCATATAGTATTTGGAACCGCTGCGGTATCCTTGGCTACTATAACCGCAAGCGCTGATGCTACTCCGCGCCCGCTGCCATATAATAGCAGAAATTCCAAGATCGGCCATGTTGCTGTAAGCTTGCAGCTTTTAGACAACTGTGCGGCCGGGCACATGGTGCGTTATTGCAGCATGTTCTCAGGCATAATTTATAATTATCCGGCCAGGCCAGGCCATGGGTTACGTTGTGCACAGATAGAGAGATTTCAAGTCCATATTCACTTCACGGGGCCTCACCCAATATTAACTGACTCGATGCGTGATTGTATTTTGAAAAGCCCGGCCGGTGTTCAAACGGCAATGATACACATGTTACAGCGCCGGGGAAGCACAAGTAATCAGCATGCCTGGCAACACCCCATCTTCATGACAACATCATTTTATACACCAATCAGCTTTACCATGGAACGTCTTTCTCCTCCTTGCTGACTTTCAATATTGACTCAACTCGATTCTATATCGTTGTCAATTCCCTAGTTGATACGCAATATCCTTCTCTACATACATAGAAGGCACATAGGAGTATGTATAGAAGAGCTGATTCTCTGCTGCCCAGATCTGGTGCATTAACACTTCCGGATGCGAGCCCAAGTACATTTCGGGTTCGTAGTAGTCTGGACCTATCTTAGGCTCGAGTTTCAAGAAGTACGATGCTCTTGCCCACCAGAAATTCCCCGAGAAGTGCGCTTTTGGTTCGCTTAATAGTTGGCAGCCTACTGTGTCATAAGTCTGAAGCAAGTTAATACAGCGCTCGTGTCTTCTCAGCAGAAAATAGTGCATGTACAGTGTCCAGTAAAAGACATTCATATCCCCTGGCTTAGTAACTCCCTTTGTATGGAGATAAAGGATGACATCTGTTGGGTCTATATGGTCCCGAATGCTCTCAAGCGTGAACCGCTCATACAGAGAGATGTCAAGTGTAGTTTTTACCACCCGAACTTTACTTCCAAACCCAACCAGAGTCCCCTCCGCCGACGTGATGTTTTCTTGGGTATTGCCCATGACAAAACAGTATACTCCCTCTGCGCGCTCGTACACGCCGCTCAGCATCAAGCGCGACATGTGGTCAATGATCATCTGTTCAAAGGACTCACCTATCGCTGCCACATGGTAAAACACTTTCACCGTCGGATTCCATACGCCATCAGCCGCTGTCCCCCAGCTTTCCACTGGCTCACCTTCCTGACTGCCTGCACTGCTTGTTCCTTCGCCCCTCAAGACTCCTTCCCCGTTCCGTTCAGCTTGCTTAACTTCTAAACAACTTGCATTGCTCAGCTTATCATCTACTTGGTTAACTTCCAACTCCGACTGCTTATTACTCCAAACACTTGGTTTGAATTCTGAGCCCCCATCTCGGCCATCGGACTGCCACAAACCTGCCGAAGGATTGAAATCTACAATGCGCCCTGTGATTGGCGTGCCCCCTAAGAAGCCCAGTACGGCACCCCCCAATGCCGCCAGAACCACCGCTGTGACCAGGAATTCCCAAGAGTACAGTTGACGGGAGTGTGACGCGGCCTTTGGAAGACTTGAACCAGGACCTGGTAAGCCAGTGTCTGCCCCATCCAAGGTGGTCCCTTTTGGCACCATTTTGAAAAGCGGCCAAAACCATTCAGCTCTATGACCGGAACAAGAAGCTGATATTCAATTTTCTACTCAGAGTCCTGGCAAATTAGCAGACACTTCCACCAGGAAGTGCCATCACATTGCCGTTGGACGAAGCTGCAGATTTTGCTGCCAATTTTGAGCTTTCGGCCAGTGCAGAAAACGAGTGCTTGATCCCATGCCACTCAGGCTGCGCCTGCTCGTATTGAAGCCCCCAACTGTGACCACCACGGTGAACCCCTGATCACATGAATTCAAGACAAGTACTTGTGCAGAGGGTGCTTTCCTCCGAACACTACCGTATCTCCTCTGGCTGTACATCTGTCCTGATCTTCTCTCCACTTTGCGTTGCCATCCCTGACGCTTCGAAGCGCTTCTTGTGAAAACTCAAGAGATAACCTGAGATAACCTGTAGATCTGGCTGTCAATGTCAACCCCAGGTCCCTGCCTGGTGCCTACTTTTTCAATTGATTTCTTTATAAAGGGCAGCGCAACTACTGTTTCGAACCGTCTGTCGATGTAGTATAATGGTCAGTATCACCGCCTGTCACGCGGTAGATCCGGGTTCGATCCCCGGCATCGGCGCCTCGGGACGCAAGTCCTAGCCACCACAAGAGAACCCTTTTCTTTTTCGCCACCCTTTCTTTTTCGCCAGGGTGGTAAGATATAATATACAGTATACTGCTTCAAGTTCCATTTCTGAGCCCCATTGACTGGGCTCATGGCGGCTGAAATTGTTTACACCTGGTGGGATTGAGCAGCAGCCACTGCCACCATGGATTGCGGTGATCTACAGCATTGAAGTCCGATTGTCCACTGCAATCTGCGACAAATGCTGTGCCATTTTTGCACCGTCTCATTGGAAGGTGACGCGAATGGCTCGGAAATCGTCTTCCCAGGAGTCCGCAGGCGACTCAAGAGCGGGCCTCCTCTTTTCCTCAGCTGACTCCGGTGGGGTCAGCCTGCTTGACCCAAAGCTGCCCCCACCAAGTAACCAGCTCCTTCTTCATTCTCTCCTTAACCCATCAAGCAAGTACTCAATGCCGCATACGATGCCAGACCAGCTGCAGCAAGTCACTGCGGAACTTGTGTTCCATGGCCCTGAACGTGCGCAGCAGCTGTGCATCCGCCAGGGCTGGCCACTGAGCTTGGTCAGCTTCCAGCAATTGGAGCAGGCGCTCATGTACGGCAGCAGAAAGGAGATAGAGGCGGCGTTGAAGACCCTGGAGGCAGAAGGACACAGCATAGCTGCACTGGACAAGCTGCTGTTCAAGGCACTCAGCCTCCTTGATGCGGGGGGTGGCATGTATATGCACAGCCAGGCAGCCAGGTGCGGTTTGTGATACTGTGAATGGCCGTGGTCGATGATGCAATTGCCTGCTTTCTTGATGAGATTGGTGGTACCGTTTTGCATGTTTCCAAGATCATTGTGCTCATCTCATTCGCACATGATCATTTGGTGGCCAAGGCTGCACCAAGGTCAATGACCCAGCATTTGAAGATGAAGTTGGCTGGGTGGCGCTGCCTCTTGATGCTTTTCAGTCGGTTCCTGCATGACCATGAGGAGAACGCGCAAACTTTGTTTTCAGGGGCTCACCAAGAACGCAAGAACCCCAGGTTTGAGCCAGTGTTTAAACCAGTGTAGTCCGACTCTCTGCAGGTTGCTGGAAGTTGCGGCCGTCTTTGCCAGCGGAATGCTACAGAAGCAGGCCATTGCAGCATGGCAAGAGAGGCAGCAGGCTTGGAGATCCTCCCAACAAACGCTGGGCCCCGTCCTTGAGCGCCAGCCAGGTATCAGCCCCTACCCACGAGTGCCGCGGAGCCCAGCCCCGCACCAGCAGGGCCTGTCAGTCAGTCACTCGCTGGCCACCTCAGTGGAGGCAGCCAACCTGTGCCACCACCTGGAGACAATCCGCAAGCTTCAAGATCTGGCTGAGAAGCGGACTGCATTCGACCGCAGCTCGCCCAGCCAAGTCGGAGAGAGTGACACCAAGGCCGAAGCGGTAGCTGAACCTCTCGCAGTGGCTCTGAGCAACCGAGGGGGCCGGTCTGAACGTGGGGTCAGGATTACTGGCATCCAGGGCCTAGCATCAGGCCTGGCTGATGGGATACCCGACCTAGGGAAATTCGATTGGACGTTGCCTGGAGAGCGGGCCTTGGTCGTGAAGGCAGGGCAAAGGGCCAGCGGCGCCAAAGAACATGAGCCTTCAGGTGCAAGATCTTGCAAAGATGTACAAAAATACAAGAGTTTTGAACCTTGCAATTGTATTCTCCGTGTCTTAAGCAAGGTTTTTGGTCCAGTGCTCGGATTCCTCGCTTATTACTGCGAATCTTGTATCTTCTAGCCGAGATTATCTCTGGTGGTCATCGGTGCTTTATTCAAACAAGTCCGTTCCTTCTTCTGCCAGGGGCCGTTGTGGCGGCCGGGGCACAGGAAATGGAGCAGAGTGGTGATCGAGAGGAAGAGCGGCCGGCAGATCTGGTGGCCCGCTGGGGGCGGGAGGACAGCCCCCCGGAGGTAGTGGTGCGGGATGCACTCCGAGTGGGCCGGTTAGCGCTGGCAGTGGCGTACTTACAGCAGAAACGCGGGGCAGATGCAACTGGAGGTGGGTGGCTCGAAGCTATAATCGTCAGACATGGTGACCCATGCGCAACTATGCCATATCACAAGATCATGGTGTATGCATGCCTTACTATGACGATCTCAGACTGTTCAGTCCAGGAACCTTCTCACTTTATTCTTCGGCAGCTGCCACCTCACCAGTTCGCCGGTCTCTCTCTTCGTGTAGGTCGAGTCTTTGCAGAGGTACGAGAGGCTGGCCGCCGCCTGGCCTATGACTTCTTTCGTGCTGGCAACACGGACACTGCCCTCCTGGCGCTCCGACGACTGGGAGAGAACGTGGACCAGGCGCTCCGGGAGCTGGCCATGGGGAGCCTGCAGAGGGACATCCGCAAGCGGGCAGCCGGCGAGCTACGGGTGAGTGACAGACTTGGGAGGTATTATACAAGTGTCAAGCGCATCGACGGAAAATCGTAAGTCTTCATTGACCTGCCCTCATCTCAAAAGCAGATATGGTCTTCGTGATCCAGTCGTATCCCTTTAAGGGGCCTTTTGTGCGGACTGGTCGGGCCCCCGTTTTCAGTCGTCCTCTCACGCCGTTGATACGACGAGTGAGCAATTGTCCCCTTCCTCCTGCAGAACCGGGGCCTTCTCAGCAAACAGGAGGCGCGGGCCCTTCGGATCCTCAGCGACCTCGAGGCTGCGCATCCGGAAGAGTCCTTTTGGCGAGCGTACAGGGCTCGTGTGAAGCAAGCTTCGTCTGAAGACCCAAAACTTGTTGGAACGGGTATCGGCTTGACGGTTTTGAACGGTGAAGTGAAGAACGGGGACGGGGTCGATTTGACGTGTGGAGAGGTGAACGGGGCAGTGCTTGGAGTCTGGGGGGCGTTTGCTGGGGCAAGCGAGAAGATCGAGAAGAAGAGCGAAACGGATTTGCAGCAAGGCGGGGAGTGGTACCTCTGCCTTGCAGCCGATTGGGTCAGCAGATGGGACCGTGTCACCATCGAGCGGGTGAGAACGGCTGCCAGCTCGTTGCACCGCTGTTCAGATGGCTCTATTCGAGATGTCCTGGTGTTTGAGAATCAAGCCCTGTCCCAAGAAGTCAGTTCCGGGTAGTCGCTCAAGCTCGATTTACATATGGCTTGTTGTCCTCTGTATCACCGTTCCTGCTGACCTCTCATGAATCTCAGAAAAGATGCGGACAGTGAGTTCCTCCAAAACGGCTGCCAACTTGTAGAAGAATACCTGCTCATCGTGTCCGTTCGTCTGCACCAGATCTATCTGGAGAGGGGTCTGGCCCCGCTCACACCCATCTCGTGGCAGGCCCAGCTGCAGTACCACGTCGCACATCACGATTGGCCCCGGGTGGAACCCCTCCTCGAGCACGTGCCGCCTGAGTGCCTCAAGGAGGGCGTCCTGCGAGTGAAGCAGATGGTAGCAGAGAGGCCCCCGAACTCACTCCCAGGTGTCGAGGCTGCCCACGATGAGGATGACCTCTACGTGCCAGGTGTCAAGCTCCTGTTGGTCGACATCACGCAGCTGTGCACACGGCTGATGAAAGGCCTCGTGGAGGAGAAGCTCGCCCAGCAGCACGTGTTCCTACAGGCCGACTGGGAGGGAACAGGGCCCCTGGTTACGCTCCTGGCACGAGCTAACGTCCTCTTCGCACCTGGGGGGACGGCCAACAACCACAGCGATCGGGAGGGCTCGGCAGAAAACGGTTCCTCGTCAGAGAGAAGCCGGGAAGCTGAGCAAGGTGGAGCCAGCACATCCTCGGAAGGAGTAGAGATTAGTCACGAGACCAGTGATAAAGGCGAGGTGTACGTAGTGCATGACCGGGAGGGGCAGAGCCCGACGCCGCTGGCGGGCGCGCACCCAGTGGTGGTGCGGCACTGTGCAGAGCGCAAGCTGCCCCACCTGCTGCAGCTGTACCTGGACTGGCACGACGTTGGCAGGGACGCAGCGGACCTGGAGCCACTGCAGCTGGCAGCGGTGAGGCGCCGACTCTCTCGTCTTTGTTATCCTTGAGAGTTATTTTGAAATCAACCGGGCAGCTTTGGATGCTTCGCCTTTTCGTGGATGAATGGAAAGTTAGTTGCCGGCTATTTGTGTTGATGACACAAGATTTTTTTACCATGTTAAGTTGCCCTATATTGTCGTTGACCTTATACACACTAGACTTTTCTCGCTTTGTTTGAAATCTTCCCGTCGCTCATCTGCTTCTGAGGTGCGGGTATTATATTAAGGCGCCTGATGGTCGAAGAAAGACTGATGCGGGACGAATTTTTGCACTCTTTATATACTTCCTGCCAAGCCCCTTGCCCGTCGAAGCCGCTTCTTAGTCGATCGATAAACAGCTAAAAGACCCACGCGAGATTTGATCACGGAAAAATCGCACACAGATCGCATCCCGAGGCCCTTCGTTACTTGCTTCTATCTCAAAAGCGATGCGTTGGTTGTTGCAGGGCCGGTGTGAGTGGGCCCACTGGTTGCTGCTCTCCCGGGTCCCTGGCGAGGAGTACGGCGCCTCCTTCGCGAACGCGCGCTTCATCTCGGAACATACTCAACACGTAGCATCCCCCGACGCCCGCGCCTCCTTCCCCGCCACGCTCGACGAGATGGCCCAGGACGGCCACGAGCTGCGGGCGCTCGCCACTCTAGTTCACGCCCCTGTCCCGCTGGAGGACTGCCTCGACGGCTCACCCAAGCCCGCGCGTCGCCCCAGTGATTCTACAAACCCTCTTTCCGAACAACTCGTTGACGCGGCCCGCCCCACACAGGACCTGCCGTCGTGGTACTGCCGGCTAGGCAGTTTGACCCGGGGTCTGGCGGCATACCCCACTCTGTGCAGTCTGCTTGAGCGGGCCTGCGGGGTTGGGGACCAGCCAGCGCTGGAGCAAGCCCCCGGGTTGGAGGAGTTCTGGGCCGCCGCGAGCCTGGACCCGGTCCTCGAACCGTACCTGCGGTGGCGGCATGGTATGCTGACGTCAGCGGCCAGGGACGCCTCCCTTCTGTCGATGCTGCTCCCCAGCACGGCGCCCGCGGTCAGAAGGGTTCTGCACGCAGCCGTCCTGGGCCCCGGGTCTCTGAGCACGGGTGCTCTGCCAAGCGCCGAGGAGGACCGGCTGAACGAGTGGGAGGACGCAGCGGACGCTCTGGTGGCACAGGAGCTGAGTCGGCATGAGGAGGACGGGCCGCGGGGCTTCCAAGTGCAGCACCTGCTGCGGAAGGGGCGGCCCCTGGCGGCGCTGGAATGCGTCCTGGCGTACCGGGAGGAAGCGGCGGGCCAGCAGGGCCTCGCGATTGACAGTGCAGAGACACTGCGGAGCCCGGGCCCTGTGGGAGCGCATGCGGCAAAGAGACGCACCAGGGAAGGGAGGACGAGGGCGGGGCATGGTACCGAATATGCGGATGAGCGGGGGCATGGGCAGAGGTGGCAAAGCAGCCCACGGAACGGGGAAGCGACGGACAGCGAGGAGGGCGGAGAAGGCCGGCTGAGGGACCCCCTCACCGGCGAGGAATTTGTGATGGTGCTCAAGGAGGCAGTGCCCCTAGCCATCAGGGCCTTTGATGACACGCGGGTGACGTCAGCGTGCTGCGCCTTCCTGGAGCTGTGCGGCGTGCCGGCGGCAGAGCTGCGGGTGGACCTGAGGGCGCTGCAGCGGGCACAGAGGCAGGGAGCGGCGGGAGACACCGAGGGTAGGGCCTCGGACACTCTGAGGAGCACTGATTGGGAGGTTCGGAATGTGACATGGGAAACTTGGCCGGTCCTAAGGAAAGCCGTATGCAAGTGTTAGCGCACAATCTTACTATCAAAATGGAGGGAAGACGTATTGCAAAGGATCTCTTGTACTTGCGTGCTTGCACACGTATGGCTAGAAGCCGCCATGCTTGGATGCCAGGCAGCTAACAGCTCTCCGGTGCCGGTGTGTCGTAAACTTGGATGAGAGTCTCGCTGTTCCGAGGCCGATTAAGGAAGGCCTTCTTTCGCAGATTCTGATGGCGCTCAGCTAGCCCCTCTGGCGTCCGTTCTCAGCGAAGCCTACTCTGCCAGCATCGAGGACGCAAGCGCAGACGTCAGGAAGGTGCCGCCTCCGCAGGGCACGTGCCAGGCCGTGCTAAATCTCCTTGAGCGCCTAGAGGGAGCGACGCTGAGCACGCTGGCTGAAGACGAGCGTCCGACGAGCCCACGGTCAAGGTGGGGGCGGGAAAAAAGGGCGAGCAAGGACCGGGGCACGGCGGGGCAGTGGCTGCGGGATGGGGACGGAGAAGGGGAGAACCGCCGGGCAGCGCAGATGGAGACATCCGAGAGGTAAGGCCATGGCTGAACGAGGCAGGGAGACATTTGAGCGGTTGACCGCTTGTTACCTCTGCGTTTTGTGGAGCTTGCTACCTTTTGTATGGGTATACTTTCTGGCCAGACCTTCTACCTCGTTGTGTCCACTTGTCCTACCAGACTTCGGCACGTCGACTCTTTTGGTCGGCAGTTCAGTTCCATTTGAAATTCCGCTGTCGCGTTGGCCACATGACCATTCCACATGACAATAGAAATTCATTTCGGTCCCCCCAGTGTCATCGTAACGGATTTCGAGCAGAAGAGGAGCACGAGCCGCTTGTCCACAGTCAGGAACGTTGTCCCGACTGTCCCGTAACCTGCTCTGCTTAGGTTCTTCTTGCAGATGGGAGCTCGTGACCGCGTTCTGCGCTGCCCACGGGCTGCCCCCCTCTGCGGCGTACCTGCGGCAGCTGGCGCGGGACGACGACTGGCTGGGCTTCCTGGCGGAGGCCCAAAAAGAAGGAACCGCGGGCGCCCGCCTCACCGCCATCGCAGCAGAGTCCTTCTCCGACCCAGCTCTGAAGGAGCACGTTCTTATTGTCCTCCGAAGTTTGGGGGGCAGTCTAGGATCCAATTCTGAAGCAGATCCCGTTGGGGCCCTGCCTGGACAGAACGAGGAAGCGGCCCCGACTGAGCTGTTTGCCATTCTGGCAGAGTGCGAAAAGGGGCCAAGACCAGGCGTGGTGCTCCTGGAAAAGGCACGTGAGCTGGGGTGGCCGCTGCTGGCAGTCGCAGCCAGCGCCTACGAGGGGGCGGACATACAATCCTGCCTCGCCACGTGGCTTGCCACCATGGCTCTTGACGTCGACGCCCCCGTTCGGCCAGTGGGAGAAGCGGCGGCGATCGCTCGGGCGGTGGACGGGGCTGTCCGGAAGCTCAACTCGGTGGTGCACCAGAGTGGAGAGAAAGAGCACGGCCGGCCACTCTGGAAGCGGCAACGTATCGACGCTGATCAAAGAGAGGAGGACACGCTTGACAGTGAAGCGGAGCCGTCAGCTGGAAGTAGGAGCGCGGCGGAGTCCAACTTCGCGTCGGTGGAAGAAGCGCTGGTGGAGACTGTGGCGCGGCTGTGCGGGCGCGCGCTGTTCCTGCCGCTGCTGCGGGGTCTCGAGCTGTTCGCCCCGGGGAGCTGCCTGGCCCACTGTGTGAAAGCGCTGCAGGCAGCGGCCCGCTACGACCGCGCAGAAGCTGCCGCGCATTTCGAGAAGTTTGGCTGGGGGCTGGCTCACGGCCGAGCAGACGCGGAGGGGCTGAGACGGGGGCTGGCGGCCAGAGCGGCGGTCGCAGCGGCGGATGCGGTGCTGGCCACGTGTCCTACGGAGTACGAGCGGAAGCTGCTGCTGGAAGTGCTGGCGGGGCTGCACGAGTGGGGGCCGGCAGCGGAAGACGGCGCAAGGTGGGAGGTGATGCTTTTGTGGGCCATGCACTATGACGTGTGAGGCCATGGGCCTTCAGCATCACACTGACTGAGTCAAGCGGCATGTTGCACTTGACTGCCTTCAGTGATTGCAATGCTGGGTTGATTGGTCCAACCAGCTGACTGCTCACTGCGCTGGTCCTTTGTGCTTTCTGCTGCGCTGTCGCTTTGGTCCGGCAGCAGTGAGCGGCCACGGGTCCGTCCGTTAGCGTCACTGTAGTCCTCGTTAGGGTCTGACGACGCCACCCCATTTCCCCTCCCGCTTCAGGTACAAGCGCCTCTCCCTGGCTGCCCAGCTGTCTTCTCCGGGCGTCCCCCTCGACGAGTCCTGCACCCCGGAAGCTCTGCTTCATTCCCTGGCGGCGGCGCGCAAGTGGGACGAGGCCCGAGAGCTCGCGCAACAACTTGATCACAACCCGTCCTCTGCCACGTCGGACCGAGGAGCCGCTCCCCGGAACACAGCCAGGGCCGTGGAGCAAGACGATGCACAGCAGAGCGGTGGGCTGCGGGCCCACGTGACGGTGCTGCAGGCGGAGGCCCTGCTGGCGGACTGGCGCGAGCTGCTGTGGGACGACCCAGCGGAGCGGCTGGCGGTGTGGGGCCACTGCAGTGCCCTCTTCGAGGCGCACAGCCTCTCAGCGCGGCAGGCAGGTGACTTCTTCCTGCGCCACGCAGAGGAACTGAGCGAGGGGGATCCCCCGGCTTCGGGGGCGGAGGTGCACACCGCGCTCTTGCTGGCGATCCAGTGGCTCAACGGAAACTTCTTGGGGGGTTCGGACGCGGCGTCAGAAGAGGAGCTGGCTTCCCTGGAGGCTCAGCTGTGGATGGCGGCAATCGCGGCCGACCGAGAAGCGGGAATACTGCCAGCGGAAACGAAGTCCGGGGAGGATTTGACTGTTATTCAACGGCAGGCCCAAGGAGCGCTTAGGGCGACGGCCGAGCTGTGGCCTGTCATTGCATCACGCGGGGGCCAGGAAGGACGAACAGAGCTAAAAGTTTCAAGAACCTCGGAAAGTGCCAGGGAAGCCGGGGAGAAGGAGGGCAGAGTGACCACTCAGAGCTTAGAGATCGTCGAGCAGACTGGGACTGCATCCGAGAGCCGCTCGGCTGCAGAAGCGTCTGCTGCAGTTTCCGCACTCCTGGAGGACGGCCGTGTCTCCGCAGCCAGGGGGCTACTGCGCCAGCTAAATGTTCCCCACGGCGACAACTTCCAACTCGTGCAAGCCGCAGAGTGCGTGGCCTCAGGCGGAACGGCTTCCGTACCAACGCGGCTGGTTGAGTTCCTTCAAGCGAGGGGACTCGAAATTCCACAAAGCGCCCCTCCACAACCAAAAGGCCGGAAAGAGCGTTCGGACGTCCTGCGACAGATCGCGGAGCTCTGTCCTGCCAGCCAAGGCCGGGGGCATGTCCTCCGCCTGGCGGCTGTCTGCCAAGCCGCCGCCGCCCTCTCCCTGGGGTACCAGGAGGCGGGCAAAATGACCCCCCTGGAGCTGCTCCAGCTGCTCGCACTGCAGGCCGGGCGCCCGGGCGCCCTTGACGCTGCGAGACAGCTGGGCGTAGCGTGTGAGGGGCGCGAGGAGCTGCCCCCCCGGAAGGTGGCCCGGGTGCTGGCGGAGTGCTTCCAGAAGGGCCTGCTGGCGGCCTACAAGGGCAGCTACTTGCAAGATGGCCCCGCGGACGAGGCGGGCCCCGCGCCGCTGCTGTGGAAGCCGGAGGACTTCGTGCAGGTGCGTGTCTTACAGATACTATGCCTGCGGTTTGCATTCCGAACCAGTGGCCTCGTGGTGCACCCAGGCCCCGTCAGAAGGCCTTGATTTTGAAGCTTTTTTGAATAGAAAAGCGCATGAGTGGATACAGACTCTGTACCTGTTCTCCATACACTCAAAAAGACTTGCAGCTGAATAGCTGCAGGAACTCGAGAAGCTCCTGGGGAGTTGCGGGCAATCTTTTGACCCTGATATATAGAAGCTTCCCGGAGCTTTGTCTTGCTTTAGATTCACACATCTCCTACTGTTCTTTGTTGGTTGATCCGTATGCCTGATTTATTTCACAGAGCTGCTAGGAAAGCATTCGCAACGTCGAAAGAGCGTAAAGCTGAGCCTGAAACCCCAAACGATGAAAGCGTCTTTTTGTGCAGTGGGCGGCAGTGTGCCCCGAGCCGCCCCAGGTTGCGCACGCGCTGATGCGGCTGGTGATCGGCGGCAAGAGCGACCTGCCCCCCGCTTGCGAGGCCGAGCTGCTCGTCCTGGCGCACCGCTTCTACTCGTCCTCTGCCTGCTTCGACGGCCTGGACGTCCTCTCCGCCCTGGTCAGCAACCGCGCGGCTGCGTACCTCGCAGAGGACAAGGCGGCGCCCGTGGCGCGGCTGCTGGTGGGCACCGGCGACTTCGTGCGGCTGCGCGCGCTGGCGGACGTGCTCGTGCGGGGCGGACACCTGGACATGCTGCTCGCGTGAGCCGGGACGTCGGAACTACGCCCAAAGCGGGTGCTTTTTTTTGTTGATTATTAGTTGCAGGATCGGAGTGGACTGGGGCTTATTGCTCAAGCACTTGTGCGACCACTTCAAAGCATCCCTCGGCATAAAAAGTGTCGTCCCATCTTGCTCGTAGCTTTCACCTGAGCGGCCTTGCTTCACCTGTGATGCTTTCATTTGGCACCTTTGTTCGCGGGAAAGGTCGGGGTATGCAAACCTTTTTGCTTCCTCTCTTGGTTGGGGATTGCACCTTCTTTCATTGCCATCCAGAAGAATTTGTGAGTCACACGGATAGGCTGCCTGCTTGCTGTTTGAAAACCAACGTCCATGAATTGTCTGGGACATCATAGCACCCGAATCTCATTCCTCTTTTTCTTGCAGCAAGATTGCGTCAGGCGGCCAGCAGATGCCTCCTGCCGCGCGGCATGCCGCTCGCGCGGTCATCTTGAGCGCCTTGGCCCTTCAGCGGAACGAGTACAGCGACGACGAGTACGAGGTGGCCTTGGCCCGAGTGCACGACACGCTGGGGACCCTGCACGAGGCCGCTAGTGAGGGGACCGGTCGCTCTGTGTCCCGCTGTATCTGAAGCATCCCGTCGCGTTAGGCAACGGCCTTTGATTTGGCTATAAATATCAATCCAGCGCCTTCCCTCCGTTTCAAGAGCTCTTTTGCGGCATGTGGCTTCAAATTAAGTATTCCCACTCCTTGGACGGAAGCAAGGGCCGGGGGTATGTGCGCCGTTTGGATTGACAAAATGTAACATGAGAGTGCTCACGCGGGTTCTTGTTGGCTTTTCTTTCTGTCATCGGGGACACCACACCCTCCGTCCTCAGCTTGGCCCTCGAGCATCCCAGAGCTTTTCGACCAACTAGCGTCAACCGGCGAGCACTTGCTTCCTGCGGGCTGTCTTCTAACCGAGCCGATCCCAATTGATATGCACTCAATTCCATTCATCTGTGCTCTATCTGTGTGCCTGCAGCCTCTTTGGAGCGGCGCGCTACGGCCGGCGTCAAGCGGGCTGCCGCTCAACGCGAGAGCTCCCCCACCGCGCTGGGCCGCCTCAACCCCTCCCAGGCCAGCAGCGACAAGGAGCTACTCAAAGCCATGGAGGTACGAACCCGTAGGTCCTGGCTCTCATGTACTTCGATTGCAAACTCGCAATCTGCTTAGCGTACTGCTTGCTTGCTTGCTGGGTGAACGTCAATCCTGTTGCTGGTCGAACGTCAATCTTCTTGCTAGCTGGATCTACTCCTACCAATTGGTTGTGGAAGCCGGATCCGGTAGGGTTACTTCGCTGATCTCTTCATCGCATACCTGAAAAGTGATGAGAACCACTTTCGCGATGAATCGGGCTCGAAAGAGCAACCGACAGCGACTTGACTGAATCTGCTCGTCCCCGGCTCGCAGCTGTACGTCCAGGCCGCGGAGAAGTGGGCCCAGCTGGACGCCGGGTCGGCTGCCGCGCGGTGCGCCCACCAGGCGGCGCTGGTGGCGCTGCAGCTCCGCCTGCCGGACGTCCGCTGGCTGGACCTGGCCCCCGACTCGGCACGGCAGCTGTTCGTGGAACAGCCGGGGGGGTTCACGGAGGCGCTCACTGTGGCGCAGGCGTACGGCCTGATGGACCCCCTGGAGTGGGTGCACGCCATCTGGAACCAGGTGAGGGGGGGAAAGACGCTTAGGTCGCAGGCGAGCCTGCTTTGCTCGGGTGCTAGTCTCATAGGGCTGCGGCAGGATGTGGTGTGCACCAAACCTGCAAGAAGCATTCAAAATTCTGGATTATTATATCAAGTAGGAGCGCCAGCTAAGGGTGGATCTTCGGAGAGAGCTTGCACCCGCCCTTGAGAGCGAGTATTAAGGGACTGCCGCGGGGTCCAGGAGCAGATCGAATTTGTGTCAATTCTATGTGGCAACGCCGAAGAGCTTCGTGATCCGAGCACCAATCGGAACCGCTTATCGCGAGCGTTTCCATTGCCCTTCTCCTACTTGCTCACATTTATTTGCGTGACTTTTCCTTTGTACTGAATCCTTTTAGAGCTTGCTTCGAAATCCGAACCCTCCAGTCATTCTCTACACGCGAATGGTTCTCCTCAGAAGTTCTGTTCGCTTGCATCCTTTCCACCTCCCCTGACACGCTGCTCTGCACCCACCTTTCTCGTGCCCCCCCAGGTCATGTGGCAGCCCCTGCACCACACGGAGCGCTACCTCGGCGACTTCGTGGACACGCTGCCCCTCGCGCCGGCCCTGCTGCTGGAGCTGGCGCGTACCTATCGCACCGAAGTAGCAGCGCGCGACGCCGACATGTCGCGCTGGCTGCCGAGCGGCGCAGGGGGCGCGGAGGGCGGCCGCCACCTCGCGAAAGCCTTTAAAGCCCTGCTGCACCACGTGGGCGACTACAAGCTACGGCTGCAGCTCGCCACGCTGGCCACCGGCTTTGCGGACGAGATTGATGACGCCATCAGGTGAGCCAGAGAGAGGAAGAGCGAAAGCATGTCACCGACCTGCGAAAAGCGTTTAAGAGTACTGTGGCAACAGCCGGTCTGTGGGCTTGTCACTTGGCCACTTGACTTGCAGCCAAGCAAGGAGCACCTCTCGATGCAGACATTCTTGTGTTCACAAAGCTGTATCCTTGTCGAAAGGTTCTGAACGGGCTGCCTCTTCTTATGCTCTCGATTATTCTTACTGAGTACTGCATTTGCCGGCCCCCTCCCGTGCAGCGTGCTCGACAGAGTTCCTGAAACAGCGGGTCCGTTGATCCTGCGAAAAGGTCACGGTGCGACTTATGTCCCCCTGATGTAGAGGTTCCCCCTTCGTCGAGGCACATGTATCATCTGGTAAAAACATAAAGCTGCAAATAATAGGTACTATCAGCCTTTAGCTACATCGTGATCCCTCAAGGGTCCTAGTTGGAAGTTCCAAGGGCTCAAGAGAAGCATTTAGATTTTAGAAGTAGGAAATTTTGGGCAGATTGTGGAGCACTGGCAAGGTGTACAATATCGTGGCGGCACTCTTGGGACAAATGCGGACAGGCCTGGAACATGCGGAAGGGATCCGGAGAGAGGGGAGACGTACACAAGGAAAGGGCCTCCAGCAAGCTGTGGACGGCAAGCGTTAATCCTCATCCCTACAATTTTCATTGGATTTACCCTCAACTTGGCAGTGTTGGTCACACTAGATGGGGGTGGAATACCGGTTGTAATTTCAAGTTTGTGAGAATTGGCATGTGCAGCGTACTTTCAACATTTGATATTGGAGGGAACCAATTATTGGTGTTGTTGTATATCATTCCCAACCTCATGTGGGGTTCCACTCAGCCAAGAAAGAAAGGGAACAAAAGAGGAAAAAGAAGGAAAGAGAGTATAAAAAGTTAAGGTAATAACACCATACGTCGAGCAAACAACGAAGTAAGCCAAACTAACCGTTCGATATTCACACAAAATGGAGATGGGAGCTTCGGAGCCGTCCAATCATGAGTCATGATGATAAACTGACGTCGCATCAGAAATATCTTACACGACATCATCCCGTTTCTATATAAGCGACACACGGCAAAAAGAGCGCCGTCGATTTTCTGTCATGTCTCTATCTGAGTGGGACCGAAAATTCAGCGTTGGCTTGCGAACTCAGATTACCCTACAATATACGTTCGTAACCACTTGAAGGTCGCAAAACTTTCTACAAATGGGTCCTGAAACACAGGCTATATTTTTGCATAACCTAGGATCGAGATGCCAAGGCAACGGTCAACGAAGCAGCGCCGACACCGTAGTTCTGCAGCGCCGACACCGTAGTTCTGCAATTGAGCATTGCGGAGCTCGCAAGTGTATATAGTCATTGTTGACAACCGCTGAATGAATTTGGAGGTTGCAAGTTTAGCTTGATTAATTAGTCGACTCGGAGTTTGGATCAAACAGCCGCCGTAAACTTGCGCGGCAGCCTGTTCGAGCTTGTATACATTTACCTATATTCAACAGCTCATGTCGCCGCCGCCCGAATCTTAGTGGGCCGTTCTCAACACGAGGGTCACATTGAAACACCAAGCGCTAAGATACATCATATGTCCGCACTAAGTTACATCATGTCCGCACACCTTTTTTAGCAGCTTAAATGGGGTGCGGATATCGAATCCGCACGTACTTCTTATTGGCCATCCCAAAAGGTTGCGGATTTCCCGCGCATCTCTTTCTTAGCAGCGCCAAACGGGTGCAGCTCTCCTACACCCCTTTTCTGGCTATCTTAAAAGGGGTGCGGATATTTCTTGGCACGCATTTTCAGGGCAATCTTACAAAGAGGGTGCAGATTGTTCAGCACGGGCACTCTCAAGAGCGTCAAACGAGTGCAGCCGCTGGTGCACCACTTTTCCGGCCATCTTGAAAGGGGTGCGGATTTTTCCGCACGCTTTTCCTGGCGGTCTTGAAAGGTGTGCGGATTTTTCCGCACCCCTTCTGGTGATCTTGAAAGGTGTGCGAATTCTCCCGCCCGCACGCCTTTTTCAGCGTGCCAAATGGGTGCAGCTTCTTGCACCACTGTTCCGGCCATCTTGAAAGGTGTGCGGGTTTTTCCGCACACAATTTTGAGTGGCGCCAAAGGGGTGCAGCTTTCTTGCACCCCTTTTCTGGCCGAAGTTGAAAGGTGTGCGAAACTTTCCGCACGCCATTTTTCGCAAGGTGTGCGGATTTTCCCGCACTCCTTTTATGGTGGTCTTGAAAGGTGTGCGGATTTTCCACATCCAATTTTCAGTGGCGTCAAATGGGCGCAGTTGTCTTGCACCCTTTTTTCCGGCGATCTTGAAAGGTGTGCGGATTCTCTCGCACGCCTTTTTCAGCGGCGCCAAAGGGGTGGCGGCTTTCCCGCACCCGTTTCTGGCGGTCTTGAAAGGTGTCCGGATTTTCCCGCACGCAATTTGGAGTGCCGCCAAAGGGGTGCAGCTGTCTTGCACCCCTTTTCCGGTGGTCGTGGACGATGTGCAGATTTTCTCGCACACCTTTGTGGGCGATCTGAAAGGTAAGTGGATTTTCCCGCACCCCTTTTCTGGCAATTTTAAAAGGTGTGCGAATTCTCTCGCACGCCTTTTTCAGCGGCGCAAAAAGGCTGCAGCTTTCCCGCACCCGTTTTCTGGCAATCGAGAAAGGTCACGGTGCGGATTCTCCCGCACGCCTTTTTTAGCGGCGCCAAAGGGGTGCAGCTTTCTTGCACCCCTTTTCAGGCGGTCTTGAAAGCTTTGCGGATTTTTCTGCACGCAATTTTGAGTGGCGCCAAAGGGATGCAGCTTTCCTTAAATACTTCTCTGGCAGTCGGGAAAGGTGTGCGGTTTCTCCCGCACGCCTTTGTCAGCGGCATCAAAGGGGTGCTGCACCCGTTTTCGAGTTTTCAGGCGGTCTTGAAAGGTGTGCGGAATTTTCTGCAAGCAATTTTGAGTGGCGCCAAAGGGATGCAGCTTTCCCCAAATTCTTCTCTGGCAGTCGGGAAAGGTGTGCGGTTCAATCCTGCACGCCTTTCTCAGCGGCGTCAAACTTGGTGCAGATTTCCCGCACCCGTTTTCGAGGTTTCTGGCGGTCTTGAAAGGTGTGCGGATTCTCCCGCACGCCTTTTTCAGCGGCGCCAAAGGGGTGCAGATTTCCCGTTTTCTCGTGGTCTTGAAAGGTGTGCGGATTCTCCTGCACGCCTTTTCCAGCGGCCCCAAAGGGGTGCGGCTTTCTTGCACCCCTTTTCTGGCGGTCTCGAAAGGTGTGCGGATTTTCCCGCGCACCTGTTTTCTGGCGGTCTGAAAGGTGTGCGGATTTTTTTGCACGCATTTTTTAGCAATCTGAAAGGGGTGCAGATTTCTTGCACCTTTTTCTAGCGATCTTGAAAAGTGTGAGGAGTTTCCCGCATGCCTTTCGTAGCGGCGCCAAAGGGTTGCAGCTTTCCCCCAATTCGTTTTTGGCATTTGATTCTCCCGCATGCCTTTTTCAGTGGCGTTAAAGGGGTGCAGCTTTCCTGCCATCCTTTTCTGGCGGTCTTGAAAGGTGTGCGGATTTTTCTGCACGCAATTTTGAGTGGCGCCAAAGGGGTGCAGCTTTCCCACAATTCTTTTCTGGCAGTCCGGAAAGGAGTGCGAATTCTCCCGCACGCCATTTTCAACGGCGCCAAAACCGGGGTGCAGATTTCCCGCGCAACAATTTTTTGGCGGTCTTGAAAGGTGTGCCGATTATCCCGCGCGCCTTTTCAGCGGCGCTAAAGGGGTGCAGCTTTCTTGCACCCCTTTTCTCGCCATCTTGAAACGTGTGTGGGTTTTTCCGCACACAATTTTGAGTGGCGCCAAAAGGGTGCAGCTTTCTTGCACCCCTTTTCTGGCCGAAGTTGAAAGGTGTGCGAAACTTTCCGCACGCCATTTTTCGCAATCATAAAGGTGTGCGGATTTTCCCGCACTCCTTTTACGGTGGTCTTGAAAGGTGTGCGGATTTTCCACATCCAGTTTTCAGTGGCTCAAGCTTTTTACATGGACGTCCGCCATCAGGCGTTGACGCATGCGCACTGGGCATCAAATGTTGCTTCCGAAAAGGCATTTGAAGGACGCTCGTCCTTTTTCAATTGGCGGCCCGGGAAGGCGGGGGGCGTGCGCGCGGGGCGGACCACGTGAAGTAAATTTAACTGACAATGAATATATGACTGTCCCGTCACGTGCAATCCGACCGGTCTGAAACTACTCTAAGAGCCACCGTCCTGACAAAGAACTCGATTTGGAGAGCCGGTTACTGATCGAATGTCGAGCTAGGCAAGGGGCCTCGAGGATCCTTTGCATGACGTCCCGGATAGATAGGCTCAAAACCTATAGCCGGCTGCATGTCAGCTGGCATCATGCGCTAATGGCCACAATCAGTCTACCATGCATTACGTGCGCATGTATGCTTCACCTATATGGCGGGGGCCGCCCCATATAAAGGTCAAAGCTGCGAATCGGTGAGTTGTAGTATGCGGTCCTTTACATCAAATCAACGCATGCATAATCCAAGCATTGGTATACATGTGTGTCCAAGGAAATAGGGCTAAGTTCCATTTGCAGCCGGATTGATGTCGTTCCTTACCGTGGACGGATGCCATATGCGGCACCGCCAGACGGTTCGTAGGGGATCTGTCAGAGAGATGCTAGGTCGTTGCTTTGCGGGGGGCCAGCGACTAACGTGAATAATGAAACCACCGCGGGCCATGGTGCCGTGATAAGCTGATGTAATGAGCAACGGTTGCCCTATTACCGCCACGCGCGCATGTTCTGCAGGCACCGTCGCTGACTCGCAATCAGTCTCACCAATTGCACCAATTGGATCAGAATTATGGCGGCGGCCTTTCAATGCTGTGTCCTTTCAGGGTTTCGCTCGCTTTCGCTTCAGCCAAGCGTTGCCGCGCGCGCTCTATCAGGGCGAAAGCGGACCTTTGCTTGGGTGGCTTCGTGGGGCTGAGGGACCGCGGGATGGCGTACCCAGAAGCAGCCAGAGGCTTGACGCGCCTGCACATGGAGTCGACAATGTCTGTTTTTGGAATATAACTTGAAATGAGGCGCTTGGGCACAAAACCGCACTTGAGCGTGAATCACATCAAACGGATCAGCGGCGCTTCGCCAACGCAAATGTACATTGGGAAAGGATTTGACAGTCCTTTCAAACGGATGCACGCTGCTCACCTCTTGTGCAGCATGCTGCTCGTCCGGATTTTGACCTGCCCCGCAGGTTGCGTCCGGAAGCCGTACTTCGACAATACGGGCCCCGCCCAATCGACGGGTTGCCGGACGTACGTGACGTCGCGCAATTGCGGCCCCCCGCCCACGAAGAAGCTGTGCAACTGCTGCCGCACGGACCCCACGGGACGCCACGTGTCCACAACGTGCTCGCGCGTACCTGGGTATGATGGAATAAACATTTTCCCGCACTTCAGACAGCGAATTGTCTGCGGAGAAAGGGGAACGTTCAAGGCAAGTAACTATGATCTCAAACTAACGCAGTCCTGTGTGCAGAGGACTTTCGTCCGTCGATTTGCGCAGTTGATAATAGCAAACAGGTTCCCAAGCATCTCAGATGAAAGATACTCAACCGACCTCTTCATTTTGCAGCCCGTTATCCTTTCAGCATGCCAGTTGTCGAAGACGAGCAGGCTCTATCTGAAGACCCGGAACAAGCATGCCGTGTTGACCTGGTCGCCCCGGGCTAACCTGGGCAGTGGCCCGCGAGCGCGAGGTAGCCGTAGCCCTCAGGGCGGCAGCGGTCCCAGCGGTCGTAGGACGCCACGTGGAAGTACAGGATAGGCCACGCCGCCGCGGGCTCCTTTTGCGCGGTGAGCTCCACCTCGAAAGGGTGCCCGAAGCACGCGAGCGACGTGGGCAGGTCGTCATCCGCAAAGTGCACGCGCCGGCCCACCGAGATCTGGGTGAAGCCGTGCAGCTGCGGCAGCCACTGCTCGCCTGGAGGCAGCAGAGACGTTGGCTGGTGAAAACAAGGTTGGGGCCGTATTTCAGGGGAAGGAAAAATGCAACAAGCAAAGTCGGACGGGAACCAAGCTTGCAACTTTCAGCGGGCAGAAGGCGACCATGGCGCTCGGAGATAAGTAGAGTGTCTGCGCGAGGGCGAGGTCACCTGAAAATCAAACTGCGGGAATGGCAGGGTCCTCCTGAAAATCCATGAAGAAGTACGGAAAGAAAAGTATTCCCCGCTAAGACGCAGACCCCTATTGAGCGCTGGGGTCCCTTTCGACAGATTGAAGTGCGAGAGGCGTCAGGCCTGCTGCGGCGCATGCCTCACCGCACTCCCACACCGTGTCGTCGTACTTGAGGTGATACTCCACAAACAGGCGGTCCCGCTGGAACGCCTTGGCGGCCACGATCTCGACGTTGAGCAGCAGCCGCACCGCGTCCGACGACGGGCCGGGGGGCGCCTCGAAGTCGCCCGCGCCCACCATGCGCCGCAGCCCAGCCGCCCTGCACAAACAAACATCCGTCGAAGACGGCCGAATCTTACATTCATTGCCTTTGCGCAGTGTTTCTGTCAGAGCGATCTCTGAAACTGAGCCCAGATGTCCAATCTATGTATCTGGGGCCTGCTCGAGCGAACCACCTTGTGGGCCGAAAGTTTCCTGATGTGGACACGCATCGTGCTTGTTCGCAGCTGTCAAACGTCTGCAAAACGATTGCTACATGGCTACGAAGTCCCCATAGAAACGGTCAGGAGCCACGTGCTTAACAACCCTGTCCAGACGGCAGCAGAAGTGGCACGAACAGGCAGAGGGTAAGTTCGTGAGTCCCAAATACTGCCTCACCGTGTAAGCAGCTCCTTTGCCAGCCTCTGTTGCCTCGCCTCCAATGTGCTGACGTCGTTGTTAGCTGCATTCTCCAGCGTGTACTCGAAGACGCCCCCCCCAGGAGCGACAAAACGGTACGGCGTGCCTCCGCTGGTGAAGCCCGGCTGCAAAACCACAGGCTCGGAACTTGTTTCGAAAACAGATGATTGCGCAGCAAGTCCTTCTGGAGAAGGGGGAGAACACATTGGTCACAGATGAGATCCACAAGTCTTCTCACGTCAAAACCGTTCTTTTAGATCGAACGGGGTCATGCCTGCATCTAGATTGCATCGTTCGCTTACCTTGACATCGAAGCTGCCGTTTGCATACGCCTTGATGCAGCAGAGCACCCTCCCCTCTTCGCCTGGTCCTTTCCAAGCCTCGTTGCTACTGCACAAGATGATCGAAAACGCCTGAGCATACGTTTAAGCTGATGAGACATTCCTTGTGACGATCTCCAGGACGTAGGTCGAGAAGAATATTCGAAATATCCACAATAAGATCGTGGTTGGCTATGTACAGAAAGGTAGGTCGAGGGAACTCAGGTCACAAGTAGACTGGCCTTGACAGTTGCTGCATCTTTCCAACTCTTCCCAGCATCGAGGGCAAGTCCTTTGAGGAGAGGACAGCATTATGTTCGTGTACCTATATTGGGGCGATATCCCATCAAGTAACACTGTTTGAAGCTCACCGCGCAGGACTCTTCGACTAGTGGCTGCTGCCTCACCTTTGTTCGTTGGCGTTGACTAGTATGTACATGGCCTGGTACTTGAACTCCCTTTTCGATTTCCTGCCAAACACCGACTCCACCAGGTGGCTGCTACCCTCTGATGCGGACGTCGTCACCGAGCTTTCTCGTTCCTGGACAACCAAAGTAGGTCAGCCTTCACAACGGACCCTCGACTATAAAGCTCGCCGGACGTAAGCACCTGCTCATCGTTTGGTATGAGAAGTGCTGACTTGGAAACATGTGTTGACTAATCACTGCACGACCCTTCCTCAGCTACAATGGATCGATCTTGCTTTTGGCCTTTCACAAGCCGCACCATTTGTCCATTAAATGAATTGCGTCAAATGATTTTCAAGGAAGGGCAGACCTTCTGTTGCTTTCCTTGAATTTCCCGCGCTTCCTCACCGCAGGCTTCATTTGTTCACTTTAGAGCTTTTCATCCAAAAAACGTGCCACGCCCAGATTGGGCATCGTACGAAGATTCATTGTTCGAGTCAATTTGTAACCTCCATCGTAATGAAAACTCACCATGTCTTCCACAAAGCGGTCCGCATGGACGTACGTAAATAGCGGGGAACCACTGGTGCCTTCCGTATTTATAGCCGTTTTGTATCTACTCTCCAGGGCTGACAATGAGGCAGGGTCCGTTGCAAGCAGGTGCCGGACCTCCCTGGACAGGAGCCGAATCAAGGAGTGGATAACCTGTGATGCAATCATTGTGATCACTACAGAGCGATACACACATACCAATCAAATCAGAGATTATTACGAGAGTGCAAGTGACTACAGAGTTGAAAGTCTCATCAGCAGAAAAAGAAACCTTGGCCATCCAAATCTTGAAGAGTTGCCCTCACCCGCTGCCAAAAACTTTCTCCTGCCAGTCAAAGGTGCGGGTGAGTGTCTGCCACATGGCACCATGGCTACCGCGGTCTGGAACGTCGGCCTTTGGGCTGGCGGGGGCTTCTCCAGCTGAAGGAGGAAGCGGCAGTTCTGCAGCCTCCGCAATGGGGGCTGCTCTTGGGGACCTCTGTTCGATAGGGCCACGGATCTGCCTTGGTGCGCTGACTCTAGTTATGTTGACGCGTATTCGCAAGTTCTGTATAGGATCCGGAGATCGGTAGTGGACGGTAGTCTCCATAATGCTGTCACGGGCTTACAAACCTGCACATCAAGAGTATCATTTTCACTCTGCTTTAGTGTTGCTTTTGTTGCATAAGTTTCCCATCTGCAATTAGAAGAAATGAGCTGACCACAATTGTGGTTCTTTCCGTTTATTATATTCTTGGGTCTCACTCAGGTTTTGGGCCACATTACATAAGTATCCTGCACAGAAGTTGTCTCATCAACCGTCATGAAGTGTAAGTGCTCATGTAACAAGCTTTCAAGGTAAGTTTTTTACAACCCAATCTGCTCAACATTCGTCTGTTCAAATAGCAGCTCAGCCAGACGCAATCAAGAAAGGCTTTCTTGAATCAGTTCCCGAATCATCTCTCCTGGGACTCTTGAGCTGAGGTAGGCTTGAATCATAATGCCCTGCGCTTTTCGAACACTCACCTGGGTTTCACACGCATGTGCTGCAAGTCCTTCCAGCAGACCAGATGATTCTTTATCCCGCCGTAGATTTGTACCATCACGCTGGACCAAGGCTTGGCTCTTCCCCTGCCACTAGGCGCTTTCACCAGGCAAAACCACTGTATCCAATGACCCTTTGCCCTTTTTGGAACTGAGTGTCAAAGCTTTTCTCCCGAGCTGATTCACACCTAGATTGATATTTGGCATGCGAAGACACAATCTGCTTTCGGTGCCAAGACATCATTTGGTTGTTGGTCGATCCACGGCCACCAACTGCAAACACAAGATCTTAGTATGGTATTTGACACGGCACCCGATACAAGCATTTTAACAAAGTGCTGCCTGTGAGCTTTTTCATAAAGTATGGAGCTTCATTTTCTACGTTGCGAAGGAAGGTATTCCTTCCAGCTCCTCTCTCACAGTAGCTTTCGGGGGCGCTAGTACTAGGCGCCAGGCCCAAAGTTGGTCATCTGCGCTTGTCTGTGCCCTGAGCTGTTGCCCTGTCTATAGCGCCAAATCATATAATGCATGCGCGCCCCTTCAAACCCTAATCTCAAGCGTATTCACACTGGTCAGGATTTGGCGCTTACAGTGGCTACTTCTACCACCCACAAAATCAGGGCGCAGCTATCCTGCTGCTCCGACTCAGTCCTACTGGCGCTTATGATCCTGAGATGAGGCGCTCAGGAATCAGCAAAGGGCTTGAGAGAGGCGCGTGCCAAGGGTTTATTCAGATTGTGAGCTGACAGCAGCAGCAGCGGGGCAGCAGCGCTTGAGGAAATTCTGCGCAACATTGTAACCTACCTGGTTGCTGGTGCTCGATCCACATAAGTAAGTATTATGCGTTTGGCATCGCCGCACAAAGCAGACGGCAACACTCACTTAAAGAGGAGCTCTGTTGCTCCCGAAGCCAACATGACTTTTGCTTTTGTTGGTTCAGGTTTGCCGATGTGGACTGGATCAGATACCTAATGCATGCCAGTTTGAGTGGTTGTTATTGTTGATTGGGGTCCGAAACCTTCTATGTATAAGCTCTGAGCCAGAAAGCAGATGCAAGGGCCATTCTGCAAACGATCTTCATATCTGAGGCAAAGCACCAAGTTGGAGTCTAAGGCGGACGGCATTGCTCAGTGTCTTGCTCAATAGTGAGACTCATAGTGGCACCGCAAATTAATGTTCCAAAGCCTGAGGGTTGCAAATCTCTGCTACTCAAAAATACCTGGAGAGCTCACTGCAACCTTTGCCTCTCCAAAGTTGCAGTTCTCAACCAGCTTTCTACTGCAGGCTCTTGGGGGCATGGATTCCTTCACTAGGTTTTGCAACTATGTAGGCTCGGGTTCGGAGCCAAGTTCAGGTATTGCCAGAATAACGCGCTCTGGCGAGGAACCAGCTAATCATGGCCCGCTCATACGACAAGGCCCACCACTGGCAGAGCGCATCCTGCTGATTGATAATGTGAAGCTTGAGTCGATAAGGTAAGAGGAAAGGCACAGAGCGGCAGGATGACTAGATTGGGCCCTCAGTCTTTCTAAATACGACGGCTTGATTCTTCCAGCGCAAGAATACAGGAGATCGTCGCTGACTTGGATCAGACTTGGATCAGATCGTAGGGAGCAGCGAAACATTGCTATGATGATGCAGAGTACCTTGAAGTCAGGGTCTTGAAGTTGTTGTAAAGTTTCAGCCCCGAGGCCCTTACAAGTGACACGATGGTTATGTCTTCTGCAGCTGTGAGCTCTGCCACCAGATCTTTGAGGAGCCAACTGTTGCGGGAATGTGTGGCCATTGCTTTTGTAAGCCCTGCCTCGTCATCTACAAGAGCACGAAAAGCAGCCAGGGGTGTCCAACATGCGGAGCCAAGATATCCAAGTCGAGTGGGCTTCCAAATCGCAGCTTGTCAACAATCATCGACAGCCAGCGAAGGTTCTGTGTCAGCAGATACATCTATGACTGCTCCAGCAAGAAGTATGTGGAGGTAAGAAACCTCAAGTCTCAAGAGCAGAACTTCCGTAACTTTTTATCCCAAGTCAGAGGTCCCATTTCACCCGTCAGTTCGCTTTTACTACTACTCCTACCAGCTCTTAGAAAATCGCAGAGTCCGTGCTGGACGTTGACTGCTGACATTGCACGCTTTTGATACTTAAGGCACTCTTTGTTGTCTTTTCCTGGTTTCTCTGCTTTGTATTGAGGGCAAAAAGACTTGCTAACCATCAATCAAGCTTAAGAGTATCTGTTGTGCTCCAAGGGTGGATCAGAGGATGCACAATGCATAACTGTCTAAGTTGTCGATCAGTAGAGCAGGTATTAGCCGGCTTTTTTCGTTCAATCTGGTTCTCAAGGTGTGCACGGCATGTCTGGAGTTCATCTGGCGACAAGGACCCGCAGCTAGCAAAATACTACTTCTGTCACAAGTGTTTGTCAGTAGAGGTTGTGAGGGACTAAAGTGGAGAGCTCTTTTGTTTCCATAATTCTCAATCTCATCAACAGTCTGGCTGGCACTGAGAGTCTCGTGTCCTTTACTCTTGCAGCTGCAGGACGGGTGTATGTTCGTTGGTTCGTCTGACCAATTGGTGGAGCACGAGGTGGCGTGTCCCATGATGCCGGTGGAGTGCCCTCAGCGCAGCTGCAAGCGCCTTGTCTTGAGGAAGGACCTCGAGGAGCACCGCAAGGCGCAGTGCTGGCTCCAGTGCGAACAGTGCGGGCTCGACATCCAGATAGGTCTCCAGGAGAAGCATCTCAAGGTACCGTTCGTAATCTGGTGGCTGCAGATGCCAGACCGCTCTGCTGTTACTTTAGTATCAGCCCTGCATTCCAATGCTTCTTTATCCAAACCGATACGATAGGAGCGGGTTCATCCAGCAGCTACTGAGAGCGAAGCGGGTCGAAAACTGCTCTTCTTGCCGAATCTGTGTCGCGCAGCTGAGAGTCACCCATGTTGGCCTTTTCCATTGACAGCTGTATCGAGTTCTATCCTAGTCCCTCTTATATCCTGCAGGGACTGGAACAAGTTGCTCCATCAGCAATCTGTTCTGTGCAACCAGCCTGGACCTTGTTGGGCCATCTGTGCTATGTCAGTCGTTCCGTAACTTTCTGACCCGGTTTTTCGCTGCTAACAGGACGAGTGCCCGGAGACGAAATTTGGCTGTCCAAGGAGCGATATCGGGTGCCACATCGTCCTCAAGCGAAGAGCCCAGGGGAAGCACTTGGAGTCATGCCCGTACGAGCGGTATCGAATGGACATCGAAGCGCTGCGGCAAAGCCTGAGAGACAAGGAGGAAGAGGTCAGTGCCTGCCTCCCATATCGCTCTTACATCCTTTGTACCCGGGCGCATTCCAGGGCTCTATTCATACTCCGCTCGGTAAGGGGTCCTTTCTACTGTCTGTCCAAGGAAAGGGCGGCTCATTGAACCTATCATCTAGCGGTGATGCTCTTACTTCTCGTGCCTGCGATTTCTATTATGATTCAAGAGGGAGCTTGCCACAGAACCTGCCGACAATCCTCACTGCGTTTTGACTTCCTAAGGGGATGATTTTGGATTTGACAATCCGACTTTTTGACTGAGTGACAGTAGTAAGGTCTGGTACTTTACGCTTTCCAGGACGCGCCTTCGGTGTCAGTCTCGGTAGACTGGAGATTATTGGTGATCATGTCAGAAACAGTAGCTCCTCCCGGTTTCAACAGCACTCATAGTTTGTGGCACCCAGGAAGCACGGTCTAATCGAGGCCGTCCAGCAAAGTCTTTGCGGAAAGTTAGTAGGGCCGCAACGGCGCCTGCAATCGTATTGTCGACGGTAGAACCTGAGGATTGCCAACGAACCAGTCGTTTTGGGGTCAAGGCTTGCTTAGTTGAATGTGAAGGTCTTCGTGGTCTTTTTCCTTTTTAAGGTGGTCAAAGAGGGCTCATCCTCCTCCTTTTGGTGCTTGCAGATTGCTCGGCTTCGGGGCAAGACGGAACCCACCGGAGGCGATCGGAAACGGGAGCTCAATGGTGTCTCTTCGGATGAAGAGACTCCCTCAAAAAGGGCGAAGACGAGGGAAGTCCAGGTATGGAAATTTACGGAGCAGCACGAGCACGTGGCCGTCTCGCCAGACAACGGAGAGCAGCCAGGGGACGTGCGAAAGCTTCTGACGCATATGGTAGGGTCGGTGGAGGGAGTGCTGCTATCAGGGATGAATAAGATCACGGCCCGTATTCACAAATGCGAGGCGAAAGTGACGGATTTGGAGGCATTGTTTCAGCAAAGAGAATCTGGTAGAGAGGGTCTTTCAAGCTACGAAGTGACGGCCAAGGCAACCGGCAAGCATATGGTAACCGAAGGAGCGAGCAAGGCGCGAGATGAGACAGCAGGACAGACTAGGACGGAGGTCAAGACTGTGCCGAATGGTTCTCTGGCCGCTGAGAAGGTAGAGGAGCCAGTCCGCTCGACAGGGAGGGTTATCGTCTTTAAGAAGGGGCGATCGGCTGAGACCGAAGGTGCTGCGGGAACTCAGGGGCCCAAAAAGCTCAGGAGCGACGAGGTCCCGTCAGTTCTGAAAGTAGTGAAAAAGGAGCCGTTTACAGCAGTCGAGCAGGATCCGGGCAAGGAGAGAGCGGAAGGAAACGGCAATGGCAGCCAGCTTCGAGAAGTGAAGAAAGAGCGGAGTCCTTCGATGGCGCGTACTCTGGGGGGTCGGACTTCAGAGGAGCGAGTAGTGCCAGGTCGTACGGAATCGGAGCGTAAGGCGGGGCGAAGTCTGGAAGGGCGTTTGGAGAGGGCCAAGTCGGAGCAGAGGTCCAATCGTGATGGGAAGACGGATCGCGATCTGGAGCGGAGGGAAGAAAGCAAGCCACGCTGGAGGTTAGGACAAGTGGGACATCGAGAGTATGACAGGAGGCCGGCACATGAATTAGAGCAAGAGCAAGGGCGCGAGAGGAGAGTGAGACACGATGTGCACCGCAGGCTTGAGGAACCAGGGTCCGCCAGCAGCGGCTTCCACGTGGCGAGCCATGAGCATGGCCAGCATGCGGAAGCATCGTCTCCAAAGGTTGACAGAGACTTCCCGGCGCACCCCAGCATCCGGTGCCTCTCCTTCTGGTTCCGCGCAATTGACGTCGTCTCGCGGATGCTGAGTCACCCGACGCCCACGCAGGGGCGGTTCATCAGCTCCGTGGTGGGGATCCTGCAGGAAATGCAGCAGGGGCAGGACTTCCGCGCCCTCTTCCAGCCGAGCAGCAACCTAGAAATGCTAGAGGCGCTCCGACAGCTGGACGAGCGGGTGCAGTGCCTGATTGACGGCCGAGTCGACTACTCGCCGGAGGCGACCAGGGCCTGGAACATGGCCATGGATTCGATCCCAGAGGGGGTTCTCGTGTACGATAACTGGTCGCTCATCAAGCTGGAGAAGTTCGTGATGAACAAGCAGGGGGGCATGAAGTACGATAGGCGGTTCAACGACGAGCTTCGGCGCGCGATTGAGCAGGAAAAGCAGAAACCCAATCTCCCGCTCAAACAAAGCGTCCTCCTGAACTCAAACGACGTGTCTCCCAGTGGATCGGATTCGCGGCCCCCCGGTTTTCAGGACCGAGTCCCCTTTCAACCACCCGAGAGGCCTTTCCTTGACCGGGTCGGGCCGAGGCCAGGTGGCCGGTTTGATCCCCCGAACCGAGACTTCAGGCGCCCGCGAGACATGTCGCCAACACCTTCTTTCCGGCCTAGCGTAAAGGACAGAATCCTGGACCCCCGCGACACACGGAGGCAGAATGATGCCGGATCCTTTGTGAATCGTAGGTCGCCACGCTATTCAGTCTTCGACTTGGATATGTGACAACCATAATTTTGCTTGAGGGACTAAGACACATTATAAGCTTGTTACTCGCTTGCTGATTCCGCAGATTGACTTCAAGGAGGACACCGGGCCTTCTCACAGATTTCATGTACCTATTTGGAAGGGCGACGTTGCAAGCGGGGGCGCTGCGAATGATCACATGCCAGTATTTGATGTGATTGTCGTTTTTTAACTGGGGATTGAATCATGAATGCTTGAATGAGCATCAAAGAACTGTGCCTTGGGAAGACGCAAGTTTCATTGAGCCAATTCAGACGGTCACCTTCGTTGTAGCCAATTTGTCTTGACTGCATGTGGATATATTGAAATCAATGCCATTGTGGGCACAGATTATCCCATCTTTTCAGAGCGTGGTTGCATATCGTTCGCTGGACAATGTCACATGCCCGCTCGCTCACGCGCTAATTACTTGGACTTTTGCATGATTTCCCGTACGTATGTGAACATCGCGATCCGCGGGACCCGGTTCCATATAAATTGCGTACATGGATGCCAATAAGAGATCGAATTAAGCCGCCAATGATGATCGACGTGCGCGGGCGGGTGGTCGGTTTTAGTCTCCAAGTCAACATCATTGCGTGTTCACGTACACATACAACTGCACATTACATATGAATTCTTGAGCACCGGTTAATTATACTGTACCACTTAACACCGGCCTGCAGAAACGCATTGACTTTGAAGTCTCTGTACGTGGATGTAGGTATCCGGAGCCGACTTCGGTAAAGGTCGTTTGAATGTTTAAGAAGGCCATGCTGCTATCGCATGCTTAGTAAGCAATCAAGTCACTGTCACGTTGCAAGCTGCCGAAGGCGCCGGGGCTCAGACCAATCTTCAGCGCGATCAGCGCGGGCGACATCGAGGCGGCCGTTTTATGTGGTCTGAACCGCGGGCTGCATTCCAATGGCCAAACCTAGCTTCTGTGGTATCGCATCGTCAAGCATATTGATGAGGGGAAACAGTCAGTTAGTAAGGCGGCCATCGCGAAACGGGATTCTACTGTACGTGTTACCTCAGGCTCCGTCATGGGAATCATGATCTGCAGAAGTGAGGAGATCAAAGTTGAACAAAATTAACCCAGTATGACGTTGATAGTGACGTAGGCAAAAGCGCCATGATAACTTACTCAGGACCTTTCTATTACTTTGGCTTCTGGCGATCGGAAGCGCATTCCCAGTCGGCTTCCTCGACAACAGAACGAAAGCAGACTCTGCTTCAAGTATGTCTTGATACTAAAGGCTGCCTTTGCCATTATAATGGTTTGCCGATTCGCCTCAGGTGTCGTCTTTTCTCTGATGTCGAGCGAGAAGGTGCAGAAATTCCAGTCAAATTCACCGGCTGGATGGCAGCAGCACAGTTCGCAACCTGTAGCAAGTGACCGCTATGGGATACGACATGCTGCTGATCAACGACCATACTAGTCTGTTGTGGAGGCTCACTTTGACACCGCTGCCGCTTCGAAACAGATCAGTCGCATCCAGGATGGAAAACTCGCTTCTTTAAAGGTGCGAAAACCATCACCGCACGCGCAGCCTTCTACGAAGCTGCGACGTCACATTCGCGCCATGCAGCTTTTGCAATCTGGGGCATGCGCTAATGCGAAAACGACAACCTGAGCGGTTCGCGACCGAAGCAAAGCATTCTTAGATTCTGAGAGCTCGACTCGACACTTCGTATACGCGGCTCAAGTCAGCTTCCAACCGTGGCTATCTGCACGACAATCGCTGACTGTCCAATTCAGCAGGGAGTAGTCAGCCGCGTCCACAGAATGACGCACGGTGATGATGTGGCAGCTCAACCAATGGTCAGTGTAGAAGTGTATCGGACCAACGGTCGTAGGCTCGACACGACGTTCAGCTCGCGCTTGTCAGTCTGTTGTGACGAACGAACCTGCTCTTCAGGAGAAATGCACAATACGTGAAGAGAATGGTCACTTTCAGTTGATCGATTCGCTTTGGGATTCTCGAAGTCGCGTACACATGGCAAAGCATGCACGAACGAGCCTTACAACAAAGCAGCGGGAGGACTCTGGAAATAGACAGGTCAACTAAGGTTCTTGAGACCCGGCTGGACGGTGGGACGGGGGCTGGACCCCAAAAGCAGCAGCAACAGGCGCCACGTCTACACGTCTTGGTCTCGCAACTTCGTCGAACCTGCGTCTGAAATGCATGGGACTTCGAGTCTGGAAGTTTGACGAGCTAAGATCAGATACGAAGTCCTCACTCTGAAGGACATGTGTTGCCGGCCCATTTCAAATGCATTCAGGTGTCTGCTTGGCTGAGCAATTTGGTGTGGTGATAGACTGGAAGGCGCCCGGCCCAGTACGGAAGCAAGCCGAAGGCAGGTCTAGCTTCAAGATATTTGCAGTTGAGAGACTTCTGGTTGTTACTACGTGCATGACCACTGGTGACGTTGCTTTTCAAACTTACAAAGGCTTACGTGATCATACCGTGGGCTCAGTGCTAGAATTTGGACCTTTCTCACTGAGCACTTCGTTCGAACTCATCGAACCTTCAGGGCCCCTTCACGGCCTCTTTATCTCTTAATAACCCGGTGCAGTGCCCAAGAAGCTAGACGTATACCAGTGCTTAGCTGGTAGCAGCCACGCGGCTTCTGAATGAGGAGGTTCCATGGCCTCTGAATTGCAATGCCAGCTTGAACAGCCGAAAATGAATTCGACTAAAAGGGTGATCTCCAGGGGCACAAGCGTCCAAGCGGGGGCACAAGTCACGGCTAAGATCGAATCGCGCTCGGCCATCAGGCACGTCTGAGAAGGCTTCGTGTAGAACCAGACCCCACGATATCCGTTACCGGCGCTATTAAGCACGCCAAGCTAGCGAGTTGAACATTACCGCACGTACTGCTTCTAAACCTCACAAGATGACACGCGGCGGGTAGGTGCAGCCTGCCATCCAGTGAGGCTTCAGCTAGTGACCGCGACTCTTGACCGGGACCCTGACTGTGACTGTGAGTACAGCGCTGCATTCATGATCTTCTTGGAAGTTCTTCCAGGTTGTTTGTGAGGGCAGTCACGGGAGCAGCAACGCTCTTAGGTTTTGTTTCTTCATGTCGAGGGGTGTAGATTTTTTTGGGACCTCCAGCTACTTGCGGAGTCGCTTGCTGCCATGACCATCCTGTGACGCCCGATGTCAGCATTATCTCTCAGAGAGATAAAAATGGAAGGGAAAGACAGCCAAGGAAGAGCTGCTCATGGCTCTCTATCGCCTGCAGCTCTGCAAACCAACTTGGTGGATAGTTCAAGGCAGACAGGGGTCTAGCCTTGCAGTTTCTGTGGGCCAAGGCTGCTGGCCCAGACTTATTGTGGATTATTTGGCATGCAACTCTGTGAGAAGGGGCAGTGATGACTGAGCAAGCTGCCCCTTGTATATATTACCCTTGCATCTTGTACTAGACTGCCAACTGAGCTCTCTGCTCATCTTGTTCGCCTTGGATTTTTGTACTATTTTTGTGTCTCTAGAGTCTAGTACTTGGAAGTCGAGAAAACTTGCTGAGCGCAGGTCAGAATGGAGGGGGAGGGTTTCAAGTGGCGGGTCAAAGGTCGCTTCATGGCAGCATTTAACAAGGTGCTCTTTAGGTGCAAAAAGAAGTGCCAGGTCAATGCTGGCGGTAGCCAACATAGGAGCAGCAGACCACTGGCAAAACCTAGGCATGATTCTTTGTACTCAGACGGCCAAGAAACTGTACTCTATCCTGGAGGAAGAATATTAACCAGTGGACAGGCTCCGCACAGCGATGCTAGCATTAGCCAGTCAGATCTGGGGGACAGCATTGTCGAAGCGGATGCAGGGGGTCCGGAAAATGCATTGTCTAGGGAGAGGGATTCATCTGGGGTGGGGCCCCTGACAGTCCAGGATGCTGGTCCATCTTTACCCGGGCAAGCTAGTCAGGCGATTGTACAGCGGTACGTCGCAAGGGCCCGTGATCAGGGGGGAAGTCCGCAAGCCGGAGGGCCCCCTCAGGCAGAAAGCAGCAGGGGAACGCTCCCCCTGGTAGAAAGCACGCCTGTGCCCCAAGTAGAAGGCAGCTCCTCAGAAACCGAAGAGCCAGCCGAGGAAAGCGGCCCGGAGTCGCCTCTGGCGTGTCCCCCAGTAGAAAGCTTCCCTGCCCCCCTCCCTGGGAAAGACCTGAACGTCCTGCTGTGCACAGTGGCCACTCACATGTGGATTGCGGAGTCGGCGTCCGAGCTCGAGATGCTGGGCGAGATGGTGGATGTCCTGGTGCGCGGGGGGGCCTCGGAATTCCTGCCCGCCATCATCAAGGGCTGCTGGGCCGCCAGCCTGAGCCGCAGCGGTGTGAACCTGCCCCAGAAGGTGGCGCTCTTCTCCAAGATGGTGCGCGAGGGGGCGCGTCTCCTTTCCCCGGATGAACTGCACGAGGCTCTCAGGGTCGCGTCAATGGCGTGCGCCTGCGTGTGGGCCGACAGGGAGAAGGGGGGGCGGTCCGCGGGGGGGTGCCCAGTCAGGGCGCTGCTTGAGGTCATCAGAGTGCTCATCAGGTGGGGCTGTTTCGTTTTATGTCAGTGGCGTTGATGACTGCACGTAGCTTGCTGACCTATGGTAGTGGCCATTTTGTCATTAAAGGGAAGGTGCTCTGTACTGTTGTGGAAGCGGCAATGCTGTGGTTCTTGAACCACTCATTAGGCCTGGTCGTGTGTTCTTTTGTAGTGGGGGATCAGATGGTCCATTTTGGTTGCGACAAGAAGAGGGTACCGCATCATTTTGAGGACGGGTTCAGATTGGAATCCTAAGAATAGTAGCAAAGAATGATGACACTCATTGTCCATCTTTTCGCTTGTATCTCAGATGACGGTCCTGCAGCCAGCTTCACATATACAACCAGCATGCTGACAGAAACGCAGTCTGAAAATTCTGGATCCTGAATGTCTGGGCTCCTCACAATTTCCTTCGTGTTGGAATCTGTGTAGTCTTTTCTGGCAGCGTGACAACAATGTCAGTGCAAAAGTTTTCAGTGACTTGATTCTGTGGAGCTGGGCATAGTAAATTGCGTAGGCATTTTACCGCTGAGGCCGGGTGCAATGATGATTTTAGGTGATGTCGTGCTTCAGGGCATCTATAAGTAACGTTCTTGTTTCTGTTTTCGAGCATCCTCTGTAAAGGCCAAAGCTGACCCGCAACTTCAATCGTTTCGTGCTGTATTCCTTCTTACTTGCACTCAAGTACTGCATTCAGGAAGGCCTTCTCACACAGTAAAACTTTTAGGCTTTGTTTTAACTACGTTCATGTCTAAGAGTTTGTAAAGCAAAGTCGATTTATGGATCTTTCTCCCCTGCTTCCCTTCTCAGGGCCGGCGCCAGCAACGTGAACCGCGTCATGCGTGACGTCATCTCGTACAAGATCGACAGCGTGGAGGTCGTGCGCGTCTTCCTGCGGGAGGACCCCACCAACATTGATGTCAACCGCGCACTGCGCCACGCCACCGCCTGCTCCAGCCACGTCAACGTGCTGCGCTGCCTCATCCGGGAGGGGGGCGCCTGGGAGCTCTCCCGACCGCTGATGCTGGCGGCGATCAACGGATTCCTGCCAGCTGTCCAGCTGTTTCTGGAGCACGGGTGCACCGACTCGGGGTCGCTGTACGGGGCGCTGTACTGCGCAGTCACGGCGGGGCAGTGCACGCTGATCGAGTACCTGTTGGGCGTGCTGCCGCCGGAGCTGGGGCACGACGACCGCTTTGAGCTGCTCAAGTCTGCGGCGGCGGACGAGAGCGCGCTGCAGGTGCGGCGCACTTCCGACGTTTCTCAGCTGACTTCGAGAGAGTAGACAGCTTTGGAGGATCTTTGAAAGGCCCTTCTTTACTATTCGACAGCATGGTCTGAGACAGGCTCAGATTAAGGAGGGGCTTCTTGATACTTCAGGCGTTGGATGTGCAACAGAATCTAAATCTGTTTATCTACTCTATCCGTCTCCTCGTGCATTTTGTGATGATAGATGCTGTCGCTGATCTTCGATTGTTCCCATGTACTGCCTCAAAAGTGGCAGTCAGGTTTCATCCGTTTCACGCACACGATGCTCTGAGTCTGTGTCTTCTGCATCGATTTCGGAAGCTGATGCGGGTATCCATTTCAAAGAGATCTTCCCACTTTGTCCAAGCCCGTGCGTTCATTGGGAGAGCTGCAGCCCTTTTAATATCGCCTGACAAGCCGACGAAGACCCCTTGCAACCATACAGTTCGATCTGAGAGCTCGCTTTGTTTTTCAGGGCGTGATCCACCTCCTGCGGTGCAACATCATGGAAAGCGAGTCCCTCACGGTGGCAGCGGCGGACAGCCTGGCGTCTCGGGAGTCCACGCGGCCCGAGCTGCGGGCCGTCCTGCAAAAGCACTGGACGTCCGAAGCGTACGAGAGGGGCCAGGAAGAGGGGCGTCGACACGACCTGAACTATGCCCTGGCGGCTTACAGGGGTGACAGTGCGTTGCGCTTGCGGGAGCTTCCCGTCGAGTTGCAGGTTGCGATAGCTTATCGGGGCCTGTTCGAACGGTGCAGCGAGTCAGGGGGGCTCGTTTTGCCCCAAAGGTTGAAGGGGGAGCTCGTGGTGGCGGTGGCCAGTTTATACTCGGGGCAAGGGGTCGGGGGACCGGGTGAGGAGAGGTGGATGCCGAAAGAGGAGCTCGTGAAACGGTTGGAAATGAGGCTTCCTCGACACGTGTATGCTTGAGAGACTTGGGAACACTAGCTAGTGGAATTTGCACTATTGAGCAAAGGTGTGCGAGTCCTTCAACCAAAGTCGGTCAGTAAGATTTCAAGGTTTCCTAGTTAGAGAGGGGGCTTCTTCGAGGGCTTCATTAGTCACTATCATCTGAAGTGCCTCTGTCAAGGTCAGTCCCGTCTACGTTTCTTTCGATGCTGCTTTTGGCTCCCATATTGATTTTGTACAAGACAAAGTGACTCCGACTGTTAACATGCTGAGCTGCAGCTGTTCGAGCTCTTATACCCTGTCAGACGGAGAGGTTTATGTACATTTATCGCATGTGGAATGTACCGGGTCATGACTGGCAGCTCGTGGCTCAGGCTTGAAAAAGGATTTCTTCAACGTACTCTGTGAGCATGCTGGCAGTAAGTTCAGCATGCATTACACCAATGAGATCTTACGTTCGAAAAGTGGTAGGTAAGCACACGACTGTATCAAGAGTTCGATGCTATATAGAGCGGCGTCAAAGGCACATGCATCGGAGCAAAATGCCGCCACAACAAAATTGACGGTTGTAGCCTTGTCATGGCAGATCAACCCCATCGTGCATTCATGCGCCAAGGCACTTCCATGTACGCTTATCAAGCATGCTTACAGGGCCTTCAAGGACATATATGCCTGCCCACGTGTTGCAATGGTACATGCACGACTGCTTGAAGTCAAGTTAAAGTCGTGCAATTTATACACACTCGCTGCATGCGGCCGGCTGTTTGTGTTAATATTTGAAGAACAGCTTGGCGACAGTTCCGAAGTTCAGGCAATCAAGAAGATTGATAGCTCGTCATGCCATGCATGTTCCACGTAGTTTGTCAAGGCGAATTAGCTACTTGATCGAGTCAAGAAGGGAGTGTCACAGCCCAACAAACACATGCGCTCATGAGAAAGCGACATCGAGAAAGTCGCAATCCTGGCTAAAACTTCAGCCATGCATCATGCAATTGTATATCATGCAAATATATAGAGCAAGCAAAGCATGACGGACCACCTATCGCGCTATATGTTTTGGCATCCATCAAATTGCGACGCATAACATGGCAGAACAACGTTGAAACATGAGCGTGCAGAAACAAACTGAATGTCCTCTTTCCAATTGCGCAGAGTATTTACAAGGAAATCTAGCTAGAAAAACCTTCTTACCCAGCATGTACGGTCGCCTCTTGTGGCCTCACTATGTGACCATGTTTGCCATTGCCAACAATGCACCACTGCTCTTCCTTGAAACCTTTCCTTGAGCTGACCATATCAACCTCCCTACACCCATGCAAATCCTGCTAACCGAATCCAATTCTTTTACAACCTTGGCTATCCGCCAGACTTTCACCCCAATAATGGGGAATTTCAGCCAGTCCATCCCGGAGCTTTATCACTCGCAAGTTTGCGGGGGCCTACACCCAGACCTGAACGGTGGCAAGTCCAGCACACCTTCTGACAATTCGCCAAAGCAATGCCTCGACCTGCCCACACTCTCCTGCAATTGCAGAAGAGGAATTGCCCTCAAGCAGTTCTGCCCCGCCACAGCCAATTCGGACTGGGTGCACCATTGTGCTGGGCCTCGACTCGCCTGCTGGTCCTGGTGCAGACGGACTGCTGTTACCGGTTGCTTCAGCGATCATCGTCGAGCTAGGCGCGCTGCCTCAAAACTCAAAACAAGCAAGCAACGTGCAGCTTGTGAGCTCACCTGTCAGTGCGTGACAGATCGATTGAGAGGGCAACTAAAGGAGGTCCGTCACCAAGAGGACCGCTTGCCGCAACAGCAGCGGCAGAAAGAGACCAGAGCAGAAGCATTTCGGGTGGACCATGGTCCTCCCTTTCGAGTCAGGCTTCTGACGTTTCAGAAGCAACAAGGAGCTGAGCTTACCTAGATGCACATCCAGAAAGGACGGCAGGTCAAAAGACGACCGATGGCCATTGCCAAAGGTGGGAGTGGCAACTTAAGCGAAAACCCGCACTCAAAAGACCAAAACCCCAAGAGCAATCCAGCAATTCGCATGGATGCCACATGAGCAGACTCTAAAACAACCACGCAGCGCTCTATTAAGAGCCCACGACCCCACGCAGCCAAACCAAGACTCTGAAGGGCATCCATTGTCAGACGTCACTGCCCCCCAGGCCCAGCAGCATTTAGCCCATCCTCCGTTCTCGCCGTGCGCCGTCTCTTCTGCCGCAGTTGTTGCGCCGCGCCTGCTTCATTCGCTCCGTCACCCTGTTCTCCCATCAGACCGTGTACCAACTGCCGCTGGCGAGCATGCTGCCGCGTACCGCCAAGCCCGCATGCAGCTGCGGCAGGCAACGCCTCCTGACCCGCCTTTCTCTTCCTGGGCACACCGCCCCCACTTGCGACAACCTGTGCGGCCCCCCTGCCCTGAGCTCCCCCACTAGGCACCCCACCCAACAACTGCTGCAGTTGCTGCCAGAGACGTTGCTTCAGCTCCACCAACTCAGAGCACGCTCCGCAGCCCAGGACAACGCACTGCGGGCTGGACACAAAATCTAGGCACGTCTGCGCCAGCGGAAGAAAGCTGCGGCAATGCTGCATCAGCCGAGCAGAGACCAGGGCCCGCTCCTGCGCCTCCGCCCGGGCTGTGATCAGAGCACTCCCCATGGCCTTTGACACTTGCTTCACCAGCGCCATCTCCGCCATGGCTTCTTCCAAGTCACCCCGCAGGCGTTCGCATCCCTCCTCACACTCCCCCTTCAGCTCCAAGGGCTCCGCAACAGCTTTCTCGGTATCTTCCACCGGTTTCTCAGAGCAGGCTTCCACAGCGGCCAGGCGAGGGAGGACGGCCCCCAACAGTTCTTCTGCACGGCCCTCACTCTCCTTCGCTCTCGCCTCTGCTGCGGCTACGGCATACTTTAGCCAGGTGATCGCTTCTGTCAGCTCCTCCAGCATACCGCCCTGCTGCCCGCTTTCCTGCGCAGTGGTGGCCCCTCCCTGGACCCCATTTATTCCTCCAACTACTCTCCCTTCCCAAAGCCCTCTCGTCAGCGCCCTGACACTTCCCTCTAGGTCCGTCTTCTCTGCATCAATTGCTAGGAGCACTCTTTTCAGCGTGTCCCTCTCATTGTGGACCCTATGCACTTCTCGCATGCCCTGCTCCACCGCACGCTGCTTCTCCTCCACAACCTTTTTGAGCGTCTCGTTCTCTCTCTCCAAAGAAGTCACCCGTGCCCGCAAACCCTCGCTCCGCTCTGGAGAACCCCCTGCTCCCATTACGACCTTCTTCCTGAACATCACATCCACCGACCTGGACTCCGCACACTTGAGAGCCTTGGTCAGCTCCACATTCTTGCTCTGAAGAGCCAGAATTTTCGTAGCCAACTCTGCTCTTGCCGCAACAGCTGCTTCAAGCTCCGGCTTCGCCCTGCCCAGTTCAGCCTCTAAAACTGCTGCTCGCTCTTCCGCCGCCTGCTTCAACTCACGAAAAGCCACAAGCTCTGCTGTCGTTTGGTCGATTGTGGTCTGAAGCTCTTCCTCCTCTTGCCTCAGAAACTTCAGCTGTTTTTCATGACTTAGTTCTTGAACCTGGTCCTCCAGGCTCCAGTTCTTCACCATCAGAACACTTACAACATCTTCCAGTGGGGAGTTGTAGTAGTGTGAACCGTTACCGGCCCTCTCTAAGGCCAACAGCTTTGCTTTGATATCTCTCATCTCCCCCTGAACCTCTAGGATCCCAGGTTGAGGAGTCATTTGCTCTGCTTCAATCTTGATGGCTCTGCTGGAGATGTGTTGCTTAGGAGCATGCCAACTCTTCCTGGAGCCTGAAAGAAGGCTATGCATCCTGGTGACGAATCCTGGAAACAATTCGTGGAGAAAACAGATTCAGCCTCCAAAAAATCAGAGGTTTCTAAAGCTTATCTGGGGCGCCGCCCTGGTAAATATGCCCCACCCCAACACACTTAAGACATTCAATCGGCAACCCTTCATAAGGAGACGCACCCGCAGAGCAAGACACGTGCTGCTCATTGGAATCATCATACATCTCAGGAGATCCCAAACAACTGGGACGTTAGGCCGCTAAAATGAACAGAAACAAGCAAGTATACAGACCTTGATAGTGCTGGCTTCACATCATCAGAGACGCCTTTATGTAGTGGAGGGAACAAGGTCTCATCTCACCTGGGAACTCTTCAGCAGCAGTGGAAGATGCTTCTGCGCATCAACGACGACCAGCGGCCAACAAGCGTCCTCTTTCACTGTTTCAGTAGTCTCCAGGACATGCATGCAAACTGCACCAGTGCAATTCCTCCTGCTAGCCTCCCTTTCTCAGTTAGGACAGTCCACGCAGGTCCACGTCTAGGAATCGCAGCTCTATAGGACATTAAACCAGGAAGTTAAACTTTGAAGAACAACTTTCGCCGTCGCCGTCGGTGCTTCCCCCTAAAGGCCCAGGGCCTGCAGCCTCGGGGATCCCCCGCGAACGTCTAGCCTAGCAACGAGAACCCTTGAACTTTTCCGATATCTGCGGATTGAAGGCAGCTTTGGCGGGCGGCCTCCTCAATCACGAGGGCGGAAGTTGGAGCCCTGTCTCCACAATGGCATCATGATGGCAATTTGGCATGCCAATGGCAAGCTGGGCAAGGCTTGTACGTTGTACATCTCCTGTGCTCAAGAGATCCTGTAGGGAGCCTACTGAATTGGTGTTGCAAGTTGCCCTATGAGCCGCGTGAGTTGGCTCGTATGTCTGACATTACCTTGGTGTAGTAATCTTGACTGTCTTTGAGGAGAAGGGTGCCTGCAATTGCAATCAGCTTTCAAAGATGGCCACGTTGGGGTTGAGGCGGCAAAGGCCATCCGTATTCGTCCACTTTCACAACTGGTCTGAGGACACAGGGAATGGCAGGCGGACATCTGGACTGCAGCTCGTCCTGTTCCCGGAGGATCTCAAGCGCCCTCCTTCCGGGCCCTACATAACGCACAAGAATGCGCCGAGGCTTCTGACCTCGTGACTGGCAATGCGATTCCGGCGATGCAGGGTTTTCAGTGAGTTCTGTGACATGAGAGAAAGTCTCCTGAGCAGATTTCTGGCTGGTCTGGCCCCATTCTCCTCCCAGCAAGTGATGATGAGAGACTGTGATCAGCATTGCTTGCTCGAGGTAGGCATTAAGCCTGAAAATGGACGAAGTCTTAAAGAGGTTTCACGTGATCAACAACCACTGCATTGTGGCCTTTAATTTGTACAGCACTGCACCGGACTTGGCAGGCTGATAAGGAAGAGATGGTTCCTTATGCTTATCCGTATGTGCACATCTGCAGGTGTGGATTGTGTGAGGCGCTCATGGAGGAGCCTGCCACCCTGGGGTGCCAGCACAGCTTCTGCCGGAGCTGCATCCTTGGCAGACTGGGTGTGCGAGGCCAATCTGACTGCCCTGCAGAAGGCTGTGGGAAGAAGTACTACAGACATACCCTGAATGAGCCCAGCCCCGTCCAACAGGAAATCGACGTGCTTCTCCGGCGTTGCATCCAGGGTGTCAGCTGGGACTGCTCCAGGCGCTGCTACAAGCACGTGAGCGTCCTTCTTTTTGAACACAAACCCTTGGAGCGACTGTCAATGCTCTGGTTTTTTGCATGTAACCCTAGATTCTTAAAGCATTCTGATCTTGGAAAGATGCAGAACGAAACCTTTTGTTAGAATCATGCCAAGCAGATATGTCATAGAGTCCACGCTTTCGAAAAGTCCCTAGAATCCTCCAGCCCTTCCCAGATGTCTTTCTGTATCCAAGGTGTCTCCAACCTCAAGGCAATCATCTCAGATTGTTGTCAACTGCGCTGCTGGATAAGCAGTTTGTTTGAGCTTCCTTGGCAGAGAAGGACACAGGTGCTTGCAGAGTCTGTCCTATTGCCCCTTTCAATGGGAACCATTCTCTACAATGTCCAGGTGCAAGGCCAGTGCTCCTATGTCGGAAGCAAGCAGGCTGTGGCGAGTCATCAGAGGGAGTGCCCCCTGCGCCCAGTTGGACTGGCCCTGATGGAGGGGGGGGAGCAGATAGCAGTTCCCTACAAGGATCTGCCTGCCGTGGTCCGTGAGCGACTGCCGGAGCGAGCTGACCAGAGAACCGGCGACTCCATCAACGTACGTTGCATATACTAAGTTCTTGAACCCCATCTGGTTTACTTGTGTCAGATCAGCTTGATGACTCTGCTTATCTGTAGCTGGTTCTCTTTGCCTTACTTGCAAGTGTGGCGTGCTCAATGATTGCGGCCATCATTGGATCGTTGTACGTTGTGACCTGAGACCTTGAAAAGAAACTCTGGGTCAGACAACGGCCTTACTTTCACCCCAAGTCCTCTCCAATGGGTCCCATGGGAACCTTTGCTGATTGGCCGCAAGACTATTCCTCAGCCTGAGCGGCCACTTTCAGATTTAGTGTCTTCCATGCACATGACAGGTTTTGAGGAAAACCTATAGCAAGTTCATCTCAGATCCACCAGGACATTGGCTGCAAGGCTTGACTGCTCCCACTATGCTTGCAGCAGTGCCGGGGCCCGAGACAGTTCTGACAAAACTTTGCAATACTGTGGAGTCTGCTTCTTGACATACCTGGATGCCCCCACTTGTGTTGGTCTGAGCAATTATTAACCTTCTTGCCCTGCTATGAAAAGGCTTCTGTTCTCGAGGCTGTTGTCAATCAAGAACGTTTATAGAGTGGGAGGGGATCCGCTGACCCCGGTCCAGTCTTAAAGCCCTTGACACTTTACTAAGCTACTCCTAAATTCCTTCAGGCCGGCGCCACCTTCGTTCAGAATCGGAGGGTTTCTGCGGGGACTCCTGCTCGGCGCAAGATGACGTCTGGAAGAGTCCCTCGGCAAGTCAGCGAAGCATCCGTTGGGAACAGAGACGCTGCGCTCCAGCAGCGAGCCACACGCGAGATTTATCCTCAAGCTCCATGCAGTGGGGCACAAGTCGTTGCAAAACGGGTTCAGATAGTTGACAACCAGGGGCGTCACCTGCAGCATGAAGGGCTTGCGAGACAGGGAGAGAAGGAGAAGATTGAGAAGCCGGAGTCAGATAAGCGGGAATTGAAGCGACTCTGGGAGCGCGAAGCCAAATCGTCGAAGCGTCTGGAGGTGGAGTTGCAGCAGGCGGCTACTCAGCATGCTGCGGCGCTGGCAAAAGGCGCGAGGGTGCACAAACAGAAGGAGCGGGCCTGGGCTTCGGAGAAGGTGGAGCTTCTGGTCAGGTTGGAGACGCAGGCCGACAAGCTGTCCTCGGTTGAGGAGCGGTTCCGGCAAGGACGGCTAGAGTCACCCCTTGCAAACGAGGGGCGCCGTTTGGAAGAAGCAGTGGCAGGATGGGAAAAGAAGTACTGGGATCGTCGGAACGAGTGGAAGGCTGAGAAAGAAGGGCTGGAGACCGAGCTTGCAGATGCCAGGGCGGATGCCGAGAGCAATCGCAAAGATGCAGAGAGGGCGCAGAAGGAGCTGGAGCGTGTGCGCAGAGTGTTGCAGCAGGAACGCAGAGATCTGGAGCGGGTGCGCAGAGTTTTGGAGAGGGCAGAGAAGGATGAAGAGCGTCTTTGTGGTGTTTTAAAACGTGAGCGCAGAGACCTTGAGCGTGTGCGCGGAGAAAGGACGGAGCTGCGATTGAAGCAGACCGAGACGTCCCTGGGTGTAGGGCAACTAGAGAGGGACCTTAACGACAAGATCGCGCTGGTCAGGGAGCGCGATGAGAAGATTGTTCAGCTGAAGGCGGCGCTGAGCAACGAGACTACGCTGGTCGAGCAGCGCGGCGAGGAAGTTGCTCAGCTCAAGGCGGCGCTTCGGGGCAAGGAGAGGGAGCGGGACAGCCTCCGGGGCACGCTGGGAAAGGCGAAAGAGCTGTGTGAGCGGGTTGACATGTTGGAGGCGGGGCTGGAGAGGGGACAGTGCGCGCAAGGCGACGCCTGGTTCTGCGTTGTGGAGGAAGCGAAGGGGCTGTTCAGCAACGGCCCTGAAGCAGGAGACGAAGACCTGCGCCGCAAGCGGCGCAGGCACTGACACGGCTACTGGGACAAGGGGCGAGGGGGCCCAATGGGGGCCAGCCCGGGGGGGGTGTTGGGGGGAGGGGGGTAGCTGTGTGGACCCGTCTTGGGGAACTGGGGGTCCCAGCAGCTGGGGCTTGTTGTGCATTTAGGCTCTATGTTTGGTTGGTGTAAACGGTCTGTAAAGGAAGTTAAGTCTGAAGTTGATTTGCATCAAAGTTGGGATTCGGGGAAGCAGGGGTTGAGGCTAAAGTGCTGGACAGAACGTCTGGTCGGTTGCGGGTTGCGGGTTGCGGGTTGCGGTTCCACTTTCATCTTAGGCAGTTCACTTCTAAGTGTGTGCTTTGTATATTCTTAGGCGTTGGGAGAAGTGGGACTACTACAGCGGGCTTCTCAGAGGTAGTACGGAGGTGCGAACTCAGTCGGGGTTGCAGCCTAAAAGCGTTTAGGCGGGTGCTGACACGTGGGCAGGGGCTTTGGGTGCTATACGGACGAGCGCCAAGGGCTGTGGGACTTTGGGCTACTTTGAGCGCAAGATGGAGTCGAGAGGTGAGGACAGCTTTTTGTGGATCTTTTGGATGGTCAAGATGCATGAGTACTCCGATCGTCTCTTTTCCACTACTTGAAAGCGTTGGCTGCTTGATCTCTCGGTACATGCTGACCTTTGCGATCAGCCATGTTAACAGAAGATTACAAGAAGAGTGCTATGGCTTTCCTATCAGCGCAGTTGGAGGCCTCGAAGCAACATTCAACACACAAGTTGACCACTTTATCTCCTGTGGACAAATCTTCAGCAGTCTACTCAGGTACGGGGTATTGCTGGATTCCCATGGGTTCTCGACTTTGCGCTTGCAATGGCTTTTCCTAACCCCGTTCTTGTGGTCCCTTCCACAGGCTCGTCAGGTGTCTACCTTTTAACTTCTGCGGCGGCCAGGCTGTGGCGGGTGTTGGCGAGGGCGTGCGACTGCGGCGGACATCGACACTCGTTGGCGAGGGCTGGTGCGCGTAGCAGGACATCCGGCGATGGCGACGGCGATTTTGTGGCGAACGGACCTGGCTCATCAGCGGCAACAGGGCGGCGTGTGGCCGGACGAGCGTCCAAGGCGCTGGCCCCGACGAGGAGCGACGTATCGCAGCAACCACCACTGCACCCGTCCAGGGTGCGCCAGCTTTCGTCGTGGCAAGCAGCGGCAGGAGCTGCTGTCCTTTCTTTTTGCAGGCGTCCGTCCGAGCACGCCAGCAGCTCCTGATTGACTTCGGCAAGCGTTCGATTTTTCCAAGGCTGCGTCGAGACGCGACGGTCGAGATCCTCCAAGCTTCTGATTCATCATTCTCAGCCACGTCACTCTTTCGGGGGCTCCGAACGTTCTGCCACCTAGGGCGCGGATTTGATCGTGTCGAGCTGCTCTTCGTTTCGACCTTCCCAAGAACGAGAGCGTAACTGGCCGTGCCATTAGCGAGCCCGGTCGGCGATGTTGGAAACTCTACGAGGCCTGAGGTCCCGCTTCTTGTAAGGGCTTAGCAAGGAAAGGTGGCTTGCTTGCTCTGTGGAAAGCTTTGGCCTTCATCTCCGGGCTCGTCCCTTTTTCATGAGTGTGCTGTGTTGAATGGTTTTTACCGACTTTGCTGCTAACCGCGCTTTGCTTGTTGCCTGCTGACATCTTGTGATTGTTTTCCTGTCGCCAGCTACGCCGAAAGTCCGGGCGAAGCGCGTCCTGTGCAAACGGAAACACACCGCCTGCGTGGGCCCGCGCTCATAGAGTTGCCTTCTCAACCGTTGGCACCCGCTCGAGACAGGAAGTTTCCGCCATGCGCTGACGGCGTCTTGAGGATTCCGCAGCCCTTTGGGGCACGGACGTGCAGGCAACTTCAGCCAGATCCAGGACGTGACGACAGAGAAGGCGGGAGTCTGGCGTCCATGGCGCAACTCCCGCTGGGCCCACTGGCTTGGTGCCTTTAGGCTGACGAGCTCTCCAGGCTTGGCCTGGAATCCAGGTTGGTGGACGTGGACGGCTGAGCTTCTACAGGGGCCACGTGTCACGTGCACGTGCACAGACGCTGTCGAGGCGCTACTCCATGCAAGTGGACCAAGCCGATCAGGGTGCGCGGCCAAGGGGCTCAATCCCTGCTCTACGGCAGTGGGCGCCAAGGCCCGTGCTGCCGAGGACCAGGCGTTGACTGGCGAGGCGGGGACGAGACAAGGCGGACGGACGTCCAGATGGGCCTGCCCCGAAGGCGCCTCGTTGGCGTGGCCGCCTCATGTAGCAGGCTCCGGCCCGCTCCTGGTAGAAGGCACCTTTGGAGGTGTGCGCGACGACCGCCAAGACGTGAGATGTGATACCTGCCAAGACGGAGGCCCGCTGG